AAACATATATGAAACAAGCTTTGAAGTTGTTTTTAGAGCAATTGAGTAAGTAACTGTCCAGCACCACTTTGACACTGTTTTTACCTATTGTCTTCACTTATTTTATGCAGGTGCTTCAGCGGAACTGTGCTGGAAGTTTTGCTCAAGGGGGAAATATCATTTTTTTCTCACTTAAGACACTCAAAACGAGTGGCAGACCGGGGTGGTGGTCCCTCTCTACAAGAAGGGGGACCGGAGGGTGTGTTCCAATTATCGTGGGATCACACTCCTTAGCCTCCCCGGTAAGGTCTACTCCAAGGTACTGGAGAGGAGGCTTCGTCCGATGGTCGAATCTCGGATTCAGGAGGAGCAGTGTGGTTTTCGTCCCGGCCGCGGAACACTGGACCAGCTCTACACTCTCCATCGGATACTCGAGGGTTCATGGGAGTTCGCCCAACCTGTCCACATGTGCTTTGTGGATTTGGAGAAGGCGTTCGACCGTGTTCCCCGGGGTGTTCTTTGGGGGGTTCTCCGGGAGTACGGGGTCCGGGGTCCTCTGCTGAGGGCCGTTCGGTCCCTGTATGACCGGAGCCAGAGCTGTGTTCGCATTGCCGGCAGTAAGTCAGACCTGTTCCCGGTGCATGTTGGCCTCCGCCAGGACTGCCCTTTGTCACCGGTTCTGTTCACTGTATTCATGGGCAGAATTTCTAGGTGCAGCCAGGGGCCGGAGGGGGTCCGGTTCGGGGACCACAGGATTTCATCTCTGCTGTTTGCGGACGATGTTGTCCTGTTGGCTCCAACAAACCAGGACCTACAACATGCACTGGGACGGTTTGCAGCCGAGTGTGAAGCGGCTGGGATGAGAATCAGCACCTCCAAATCTGAGGCCATGGTGCTCGACCGGAAAAAGGTGCCTTGCCCTCTCCGGGTGGGTGGAGAGGTCCTTCCTCAAGTGGAGGAGTTCAAGTATCTCGGGGTCTTGTTCACGAGTGAGGGAAGGATAGAGCGTGAGATTGACAGGCGGATCGGTGCAGCGTGCGCAGTGATGCGGTCTCTGTATCGGACCGTTGTGGTGAAGAGGGAGCTGAGCCGAAAGGCAAAGCTCTCGATTTACCGGTCAATCTTCGTTCCCTCCCTCACCTATGGTCATGAGCTTTGGGTTATGACCGAAAGAACGAGATCGCGGATACAAGCGGTCGAAATGAGCTTCCTCCGCAGAGTGGCTGGACGCTCCCTTAGAGATAGGGTGAGGAGCTCGGTCACACGGGAGGAGCTCGGAGTAGAGCCGCTGCTACTCCACGTCGAGAGGAACCAGTTGAGGTGGCTCGGGCATCTGTTCCGGATGCCTCCTGGACGCCTCCCTGGGGAGGTGTTCCGGGCACGTCCCACTGGGAGGAGGCCCCGGGGAAGACCTAGGACACGCTGGAGGGACTATGTCTCTGACCTGGGAACGCCTTGGTGTCCCCCCGGACGAGCTGGAGGAAGTGTGTGTGGATAGGGAAGTCTGGGCGTCTCTGCTTAGACTGCTGCCCCAGCGACCCGGCAACGGATGAAGCGGAGGAAAACGGACGGACGGACGGACACTCAAAACACTGATGTAGACATAATTTACTAAATATATGATAAGCAGCCATGGGTGTCTCACAGATTCTAACTACTCAGTATTCAGTGGGGTCACCTACAATTATACTAACAACATTATTTATTGTGTTTATTTGTGTTACACTTTACATTTGACACTTTACATTTGACAAGTTTACAGAGTAAAACAATAGAAAAAACTGTAAAAACAAGATAGAACAGTAAAACAAAACATTAACATGATTAGATCTCTCAAAGATTGGCTCACTGCTTTTCTAAAATATAGGTTTACTGTATATGGAAATATTTTTCTTAAGCCATTAGTCAACAACAAGAACAGTACACACAACCTCGCATTATTGTTGTGAGGGTAACAAATATAATAAAGCACACAGTCTGTAGAAGTGTGATAAAGAATTTAGTTCAGGATGGAGATAAAAATCAGTCCATTAAAAGTTTAAAACAGCTCTGCAGAAACAATGTCCTCTTCTATTATCTGATGGTTTTAGAAAAAAAAATGCTGTATTACACAATTAAAACTGCTTATGGGCAAGTCAGTGTTTTTATGAGTGCAATGATGAAAATGTTGCTAATTAAGGTTTGTATTGATTGCTGAATACCTGCAAAAATTAAAATGCAGACATAAGAGTGCTGCTCAATATGTTTCATCAGTGACTGTTGAAAGAAATGTGTCTTTTACATTTGACCTGTTCTTCACATGCCTCTGCGACAGTGCAACATCTTGGCACCCAACTTCAGATTTTGATACTCTTGGTCATGACCTGTGGTGCTTGTTTGGGTGTTGGTGGAACCCTGAAGGCCCAGAGGAAACCCACCCAGACATGAAAATCAACAAAGACATACTCAGCCACTGCATCTAATCCAAAATACTAGAAAATGAATCCTGTTGACTGCTGCTCCGAATTAGTAGCCTCTCGCCAGATCCTTGTAGTTCTGCCATGCTCCACCAGAGGCGTTTCGCTGAACACTTGTGCGAAGCTCAGCGAACTACAAGGGTCTGGCGAGAGTCAGGCTAGCAAATTAGGGCTATAAAAAAAAGTTAAATTGAATTTAAATGGAAGTTTGATAGGTGTAATGTAAAACACTGAAAGAACATTGTCTTCTCGATTGTGTTTTGCAGAAAACTAGTAGTCGTTTTTTTCTTGAGAATACTATCACGTTAAAGACTAATGCAAAAATAGTATTACATTCACTCAAATGGATTGTATTTAACATTATAACACAAAATCAATGTTTTAAAATGTTGAATAACTGATTAAAATGTGGAATAACGAAAGAAAACTATGTTGAATTACTGATAAAACTACCAAGAACAATGTGGGAGATTTTTGGGACGGATAGTGTCATTACTAACTGTTTTAAAATAGCCTTATAATCATTCCGCTCATCTTTTAATGACAGGATAATTGTGAGGATTTGAGAAAATTATACTCCTTAATACTGTGAAAAGGAGAAATTAATAAGCCTTGTCTTGGCAAGTTCTGGGCAAAGTAATTTTAAAAGTTTGGTTTAAATTGTTAAGCCTTTTGTTAAACTTTCCTAAATTTAATAATTTAATAATTAAATGATGGCACCAGTAATAACTTGTCAAGCCTCCATTAATCCAGCGATTCTCAAACTATGGTACGTACCCTTCTAATGGAACTAGGGCTTCTTCTCTGCGATAAATGTCATGCCTGTGTTTGTAATTGAATCAGATCAGTCCTCGCAGATTTGGATGTGGTCCATACTCTGTACTTTGTTGTTGAGCCAGCCCTTTTTAAATTTTACTCGGGAGCCCAGTATCAGTGATGTATGTATGGCACATTATGGTAGTTGGTGTGGCATATTTGAAAGCCTCTTCTTTTAACAACTATTTTCTCTTCTTATATAGTTGTGACGATCATCTTGATCATTAGCGCAGACTATAAATGTACATAGTGTGAGTACTCACATTCTCTTGGATTGTCAGTTCAACCAGGGCTTAGGAAAAGCTAATAACCATTGTACAAATATGTTTAAAGAAATTGTGTCTTGATGTTGACATATTATGTATAAAGGTCTTGTTCCTTTATTTTTTTTTTCAAAAGGAGCAGACAAAATTCTATTCTTGAGAAAAACTGTATAGAAAAAAGTCAAGAATGCGTAGGTTCAGTAAATCTTTCTTTTCATTTTATTTAAAACTATTTGGTTAAGGCAGCTGTATTTGACTGTTGTTTATTGATTGTTTATTGTTTGTTCTTAGGCGTATTGTTCATTCACACTTCAGGGGTGCAAAATCATCTTTATGGCCGTATTCAGAAATCGAACAATGAGAGAAAGGTTTGGCAGAATTTTGATTGTGAGACACTTACAAGACGTGCTATTTATATCAATACCGAGATATAAAGAGCACAGGTGTCAAACACAAGCCCTGTGGGCCACAACCTTTTAGTGGCCCCTGAAACTATTTTAAGAAATTATTATGACAAACGGCATTGATGGTAAGAGGAACCCTTGCATGTTATACTTCATTTTAAAGCTAGTTTTCAAGTAAACAACCATATAATTTAATACATAGAAAGGTTGCTAACCCATCATCTGTACTTCAGTTAGCAGGTTTTCCTGACTTTTCGTTCTTAATCCGATGAACTTTGAGCCGCAAGTTGGAAATGTATAAACTGTGGGTGTGGTTGGACACCCCTGGTAACTAACTCATTTAACGACTGAGAGCCTACACAAACTCATGTAATTTAATCTATTCTAAAATTTGATTTGAAACATAATTATAAATAATACAAAATGTAGTCATTGTCTACAATTAGTAGTGGTACCTTTTGGTTTATTTTTTATTAAATTCAAAGTAACTACTTTTGTTCAAAAAAATATCCAAACCCATGTAAAATAAAAGTTATAATTTCTGCATAATATCCTCATAATGTAATGTAAAGGAAAAAATATTGCCAGTTGCTAAACCACTTAAGCCCTCAAATGAGTTTATAATATGAGTATCGATGTAGTTATGATATACTGCATATATCATTTAAATGCCTTGTTTGAGAGCTCTGGTCTTGATGCAACCCACAACAACCCCACAGCATTTTGGATTAAGGCAGCCGATAATCACTTATTGCCTCAGAATGTCTGGGTTGTTTTGGACGCTATCCACCAAAACTGACCATCCAAATCCTGCTCAGTATTCTTCTACATCTGCAATGATGATGCAATCCTCCCATCACTCTTTATTTCGTCATTATTCATCATTTCTAATAATACAACAAAACTTTATTATTGCACTGGAGCTATAATTGCATCATGTTTAAGGATGAGTATACTTGTGTAGTATACACCGTATATAAAGGTGTTTACGGATGGTTGATATTGTACTTAAGCAGCAGAGAATATGACCAGAAGATTGCAATTATTTCTTAAATGCACAATTGAAATCTCTTTCTTTCCAGGCTCAAGAAATCAGTCCGTGGTTTGGCCCTCAAGTTTCTCTGTCAGAGGACCACCTTTCGGAGCCCTATACCTGCCCCCCTACCTTCCCCTGCCTGCCCTTGGTCTGTGTAGGAGTGATGAGGAGCCCCGTGTGGAGCCTGTTTGTGCTGACCCTGGGTTGTGTGTCCAGCCCTGTGAAGGCTGACTGCCAAGGGGAGTGTGTGGCCTGTGGGATCCTTCTACAGGAGCAGCAGATGGAGCAAGCCTTTAACACTATGGTGAGTACACATGGCCCACAGGCAGAGATAAGAGCTGGGCTAATGCGTTCTGTCAACAGCACACCACCGCATGGACCGACCATCACAAACAGGCCCAGACAAGATGAAACCACGATTACAGAAGCCATTTTATTTCCACTCCACCTCTGTCTACATCTGTTCTGTGGGCTGAGGGTGTTTGGTTGTATTAAAAAACTTTGTATTAAAAAAAAAAAAAAACTTCCAGATGTTTATAATCTCCCAACAACACTACCTTTGCTAGAGGTTGGAATTCTGAAAATCAATTTTGTATGTCTGTAGATGCATTGCTGGTGGGTTTGACAGATAAGGTGCCAGACATTTAGAGAGCATAAACTCATCCGTTATATTTTGTTGCATCGGGAAAACTTTATAGCAGAAACTTTTCCACCTGTACAGGCTTGTTTTGAGTCCCTGCAATGCTTGGCGGCAGAGGCAGTTCCCTGTCCTTGAGAGCAGTTGAAAGCAGCAGCACCGGACTTTTTATAAAGCTTAAAAAAATAATTTCACTATGTAAGTGTGGTTGTTATTAAATAGATGCACATGCTCCGGTCCCCCTTCATTGTCACGCAATGTTGCAAAGAAGTGTCAACCAAAGGCAGTCTCACAACATCCAGAGACTTTAGATAGTCAGGACGTATCTCATCCATTCCCTTGAACCTTGCCACTGAGAAGGCTGCCAACACCCTGAGTGACTTCAGGAAGGAAGATGGAAGTATCCGTCCCAAGATCCTCAGCCTCTGCCTCCATGTTGAAGGACGTGACAGGGGGATTGAGGATAACTCAAAGTATTCCTTCCACCACTTGTTTAATATTGGAAACTGCTGCTTTCGATGTGCGCAGAATGATGGTGAGCTGCCCTATGGGAAAAGGTTTTAACTATAACTAACCTGTGAATAAATCCCATGAATGTTGTCTTCCACTATCTGTACTTTGGGATTATTTTTGCCTCTGGGAGGTCCACAAAACTCCATGGCGTCATCTTAAGAATATTTACCAAGGTTACATATACACTGCACTCAACTATAGAGCAACTGATCATTTGTAATTTATTCATAATATTTTAGAAAATACGTGAGGATCCTTGGTGCTGTTTTATATCCAAAGATCAAAATCGCCATCTGTGTGTAGGAATGCAGACAGATAAAACAATCTCCTCTTTGCACAGACAGGCGGGGTAAAAATAGTGTGTGGGTGTCCATGAATATCCTTCGAATGGCTAATTTAGCTGATAATGATGCAGAGAAGGACAGCTGGGACCTTTTCGGAAGTTGTAATGGAACTATGTAATTGAGTGCATGTGTGTGGTTGGCGCGGCAGTCTGCAGCCCAGTGAGTGACACCTTTTATCAGCCACATTGTGTGAGCTGTCCCCCTTCAGAGCCCCAGGTGGATCCCTTCTCCAATCCCTTTTGTTTCTGCAACACTCAGAACCACTGTGTTTGTTATAATGTCAGGAAGCTCTCTGATGAATCCACACTGCACATAGATGCATACCTCAGACATAGCTACTTGCTGCTGCATGAAGTTAATCCGCTGGAAAAAATAGAACGCTTGGTAATGTAAATTAAGAGCACTGAAGAGTAAATTAATCTTGCTGGATCGTCCTCTAAACCCATTGTTCAAAAACGAAAAGAAATTGTGGGCAATAATGCAAACTGAAAAGAGCAAACATAATTTCAGCAAACAGGAGCAAGCATTCAATTATACACTTTAATTAAAATGTTTGTTTTTATTGTATCCTGATTTGTAAGCTCACTAGTGTTTAGACTGAAACAATAACCACTTTACAACAGAAGTTTAATTATAAACACACAGCAGCTACAAGGAACTTTTAGATAGGAATGTTGTGCGTGGGCCCAGCTATTACCGGTTCAATGAAGGGGGATGGCTCCTGGACATTCATGTTGTCTCTCCTCCAAAAAGAGAGACAACACACTCGCGGAGGTTGTAGATGATTTGAGTGTCGGGAGTGATGTGTATTCCAACTATTAACTTATATTCAATAACTTTGCAAAATAGGGCATTTCTACTTTCTTCAAACACTGCAACTTTCAAGCAGATTTTTTTTGCTTGGATCCCTTTGGCGGGACAAAACGATTGATATTATGATTTTGAATGTGCTTTATATATCATTAGCTACGGATGTCATAGATTCTTCTTTTAGAAGTCATATGAAAGCACGTAATTCAATCAGTGTACCTTTTTTGTGTAAGGATTTGATACAGCCACTTTGAATTCCAAACATATCTGCAGACGGGTGTGGAAAATGATGAGTAAATGAAACAGAGACCACATCTAATGATTCTAATAACCACAACCTGATTGACCGTCCCTGAGGCCTCCAAGCCTGCCCTGTTCAAAACCTATTTTTGTCTTTGATATTTACACTTCTAACCCCTGATAAAAGCCCATTTTATTTGGTTTACCACACTTTCTCACCCACACGTAAGCCCCAAGCCCCCTCCCCTCTCCCAAACTCCATGACAACTGATCCAATAGAGGGGTCCCCTGGTGTGCTCATTTCATTTACGATGCTTAATTAATTTGTGCTGATAGACTCCCTCTTCTCATTCTTTTAATGCAAACAGGTTTTCAGATAACCAGGCAATCTATCGCACTGAAGGCAGATTTGAGGAGTAAATGGGATTTTCTGCTTAACCTCACACTGGAAATGTATCACATTGGAAATTTATTCAGAAAAGATCGAGATTTGTAGGCATACATCACACTTGTATAGCCTACTGCTTATGCATCCATGTCTTTTGAGAAATAGAAGTGACATAAAACCACTAATTATGCTGAAACATCAGCAAAAATACCAATTTAACAAGACCATCAGGTTACTGGACAAGCAGTGAACTGTGTTCGTATCATGTTTAAAAGTCTTGGTACATAAAGTACAGTCCTGGTTGAGTCCCAAGTCCTTAGACACAGTACAAAATATTTAACAATAGCAAGTGCAATTCTCTCTGCCAGCTTCTTATGTGATCAGTGCATTGCAGAAGAAGATAAATTAGAAAAGTTACATTGTGCTGTGTTAAACAAAAGTATCCATCCATCCATCCATCCATTTTCTTCCGCTTTATCCGTTGCCGGGTCGCGGGGGCAGCAGTCTAAGCAGAGACGCCCAGACTTCCCTATCCACACACACTTCCTCCAGCTCATCCGGGGGGACCCCAAGGCGTTCCCAGGCCAGCTGAGAGACATAGTCCCTCCAGCGTGTCCTAGGTCTTCCGCGGGGCCTCCTCCCGGTGGGACGTGCCCGGAACACCTCCCCAGGGAGGCGTCCAGGAGGCATCCGGAACAGATGCCCGAGCCACCTCAACTGGTTCCTCTCGACGTGGAGAAGCAGCGGCTCTACTCCGAGCTCCTCCCGTGTGACTGAGCTCCTCACCCTATCTCTAAGGGAGCGCCCAGCCACTCTGCGGAGGAAGCTCATTTCGACCGCTTGTATCCGCGATCTCGTTCTTTCGGTCATTACCCAAAGCTCATGACCATAGGTGAGGGAGGGAACGAAGATTGACCGGTAAATCGAGAGCTTTGCCTTTCGGCTCAGCTCCCTCTTCACCACAACGGTCCGATACAACGACCGCATAACTGCGCACGCTGCACCGATCCGCCTGTCAATCTCACGCTCCATTCTTCCCTCACTCGTGAACAAGACCCCGAGATACTTGAACTCCTCCACTTGAGGAAGGACCTCTCCACCCACCTGCAGAGGGCAAGGCACCTTTTTCCGGTCGAGCACCATGGCCTCGGATTTGGAGGTGCTGATTCTCATCCCAGCCGCTTCACACTCGGCTGCAAACCGCCCCAGTGCATGCTGCAGGTCCTGGTTCGTTGGAGCCAACAGGACAACATCGTCCGCAAACAGCAGAGATGAAATCCTGTGGTCTCCGAACCGGACCCCCCCCGACCCCTGGCTGCGCCTAGATATTCTGTCCATAAATACAGTGAACAGAACCGGTGACAAAGGGCAGCCCTGTCGGAGGCCAACATTCACCGGGAACAGGTCTGACTTACTGCCGGCAATGCGAACACAGCTCTGGCTCCGGTCATACAGGGATCGGATGGCCCTCAGCAGAGGACCCCCGACCCCGTACTCCCGGAGAACCCCCCAAAGGACACCCCGGGGAACACAGTCGAACGCCTTCTCCAAATCCACAAAGCACATGTGGACAGGTTGGGCGAACTCCCATGAACCCCCGAGTATCCGATGGAGAGTATAGAGCTGGTCCAGTGTTCCGCGACCGGGACGAAAACCACACTGCTCCTCCTGGATCCGAGATTCGACCATCGGCCGTAACCTCCTCTCCAGTACCTTGGAGTAGACCTTACCGGGGAGGCTGAGGAGTGTGATCCCACGATAATTGGAACACACCCTCCGGTCCCCCTTCTTGTAGAGAGGGACCACCACCCCGGTCTGCCACTCCATTGGCACTGCCCCCGATCGCCACGCGATGTTGCAGAGACGTGTCAGCCAAGACAGTCCTACAACATCCAGAGACTTTAGATAGTCAGGGCGGATCTCATCCACACCCGGAGCCTTGCCACCATGGAGGCTACCAACTACCTTGGTGACCTCAGCCAGGGAGATGGATGTACCCGCCCCAACATCCTCAGCCTCTGCCTCTGTAACGGAGGACGTGACGGGGGGATTGAGGAGAACCTCAAAGTATTCCTTCCACCGCCCGACAATATCCCCAGTCGAGGTCAGCAGCTCTCCACACGCACCGTACATGGTGTTGGCAAAGAACTGCTTCCCCCTCCTGAGGCGTCGGATGGTTTGCCAGAATCTCTTCGAGGCCGACCGATAGTCATGCTCCATGGACTCTCCGAACTCCTCCCAGTCCCGGGTTTTTGCCTCTGCAACAGCCCGGGCCGCGGCACGCTTGGCCTGCCGGTACTGGACAGCTGCCTCAGGAGTCCCCTGAACCATCATGGCTCGATAGGACTCCTTCTTCAGCCTGACAGCATCCCTTACTGCCGGTGTCCACCACCGGGTTCGGGGGTTGCCGCCGGGACCCAGCACCAGAGACCTTGCGACCACAGCTACGAGCCGCCGCATCGGCGATTGAGGCAGAGAACATGGTCCACTCGGACTCCATGTCCCCCTCCTCCGCCGGGACCTGGGAGAAACTCTCCCGGAGGTGTGAGTTGAAAGTCCGTCTGACAGGGGGCTCAGCGAGACGTTCCCAGCAGACCCTCACTATACGCTTGGGTCTGCCAGGTCTGACCGGCTTCTTCCCCTGCCAGCGGATCCAACTCACGACCAGGTGATGATCGGTTGACAGCGCCGCCCCTCTCTTTACCCGAGTGTCCGAGACACGCGGTCGAAGGTCAGATGATACGACAACAAAGTCGATCATCGACCTCCGGCCTAGGGTGTCCTGGTGCCACGTGCACTGGTGGACACCCTTGTGCTCGAACATGGTGTTCGTGATGGACAAACCGCGACTGGCACAGAAGTCCAACAACTGAACACCGCTCGGGTTCAGATCAGGGGGGCCGCTCTTCCCGATCACCCCTCTCCAAGTGTCACTGGCGTTTCCCACATGGGTGTTGAAGTCCCCCAGGAGAATAACGGAGTCCCCGGGCGGTGCACCGTCCAGTACCCCTCCCAAGGACTCCAAGAAGGCCGGGTACTCTACACTGCCGTTAGGCCCGTAGGCCGTCACAACAGTGAGAGACTTGTCCCCCACCCGGAGGCGGAGGGACGCGACCCTCTCATTCACCGGGGAGAACTCCAACACGTGGCGGCTGAGATGGGGGGCAATGAGAATGGCCACCCCAGCTCGCCGCCTCTCCCCGCGGGAAACTCCAGAAAAGTGGAGCGTCCAACCCCTCTCAAGGAGTTGGGTTCCAGAGCCCAAGCTGTGTGTGGAGGTGAGGCCGACTATCTCTAGTCGGTATCGCTCAACCTCCCCCACGAGCTCGGGCTCCTTCCCCCCCAGTGAGGTGACGTTCCACGTCCCAAGAGCCAGATGTTGTGTGTGCGGACTGGGTCGCAGAGGTCTCCGCCTTCGACTGCCGCCCAGTCCTCTCAGCACCGCTTCACCACGGACCCCTCTGCAGGTGGTGGGCCCACAGGAGGGACTGCCCACGTCATCCCTTCGGGCTGAGCCCGGCCGGGCCCCGTGGGCTAAGGCCCGGCCACCAGGCGCTCGCATATGGGCCCCGACCCCAGGCCTGGCTCCAGGGTGGGGCCCCGGCTGCGCCATGCCGGGCGACGTCACTGTTTTCATTTCTGTGCTGTCCATGGTGTCTTCTGGACTGCTCTTTGTCTGACTCGTCACCTGAGACCTGTCTGCCATGGGAGGCCCTACCAGGGGCATGAAGCCCCAGACAGCATAGCTCCCAGGATCATCCGAGTACTCAAACTCCCCCACCATAACAAACAAAAGTAAGTTTGTAAAAAAGATAGTAAAATGCATGTTCAACAGGTTACACAACATTTAGACATTGTAACGTTACCATTTAAATAGAACTATTACAACATTTGAAACTGCGTAAACTGGAATGGTATGAGTGTCAAGAATAATGATAATTAGACGAGTCGTAGGGAAGTCTGCTGAAGATCGCTGACAAAAACTCCTTGACGCCAGCTCTCAATTCAACGCCACATGTCAAATGAAACACAGTTATCATTTAGAGCAAAAGGACCTCATTTAGCAGCTGTCTTTCAAACCCTCTGGCAATTTTCTCTAATTGGGTGCTGTCCATCATTCGCCACTAGTGGATTTAAAATTTTAGAAGTGATGGAGGTGGCACATCACTCATTCTCTTTATGCAGAGATACCCAAAGGGCAACAAACTGGCACAATTAAATCAAATGATTTGGATTGAATGCTGTCTGCTTTGGAGAGCAGCTTCAGTAACAGACAGATTCACCCTCGCTGTGTAAAGGATACGTGCCGTACTTCCTTGTCAACAACATCGCAAAGATTGCCACAAAATGCTATCTCCTGCTTTGTAGATGCAAGGGTTTGTGTGCTGTTCAGTTAGTTTGTTTTGTGTTCTGTGCAGGTGTGCTTGTTGGAGTGCGAGGGGCACGTGTCGTCCTCGCTCACGTGGGAGGTGTGTAAACGCACCGTCCCTCTGTCCCAGCAGACGGCCTTCTCCAACGCCGCGCTGCTGTTCAAGAGGACGGGTGAAGAACTGACGCCCCGGGACCTAGGCACGGACCGAGAGGGGCTGGAGTACGACTCTGCGCTGGGTAAGGACGGCACAGTAAACAATCAAGTTGGGCAGAATGTGTTGTTTTTAAGATCTGCAAAATATTTTAAAATCAAGTTTTAATAAACAAACAAATGTTACTAAAATTAGGTTGTTTATAATTCTGTTTAAAAATATAAATACTTTTTTGTTAGTATCACCCCCTTCTAATTGTAATATCTGCCTATTTATCTGAAGATTTTACCTACAATAATTGTATGTGGATTATTTAAAGATACCAGGTACCTAAATGTTTTTATTGGGTATTTTTATAGTTTGTTTGAGTTTATTTATTTAAGTGTCATGCACAAAAGTGCCCAGCCCACATGGGTTTATATGACACTGAACGTATAGTAATAGTTAATCCGATTAGATTATAATCTGTGGAACAGTAGATAAGTGGAGTGCAGGTTCGAATTGCATTTCTTCTTGCATTCTAGTGTGTTTCCTTTGGGTAGCATGAAGCAGAATTTATCTACTCTCTAAAAACACATTAGTTGGAAAAATCTACCTTATTATTTGGTTAAACTAAATTGATTAGATTGACCAAAATTGGTCGTAACTTTACCAATCTGTGTGGTTGGTAATTGTCCTGACTCCTTGCCAATCATTATTGGATATTTCACAAAACTAGGCACCACATGCATGTGAAATCCTGATCCTGTCAGATTTCATAAGCGAAGCATGTCCTGGTTAGTCCTGTGATCAGTTGTGGCTATGATAACTGTTAAATACCTCCATATCTACCTTCAGCGATGGGGTCCTCTGAGGAGCGGGAGAGCAGAGCCGTGGAGGAGGATGATGACATCGACAGCCCGCTGGCACCCGATGAAGAGGACAGCGCTTCAAGGGCGGTATCCAAGCGCTTCGGGGGCTTCCAGAGGGGTCGCCACGGATACAGGAGAATCTTCAGCGCCCCCGTGAGGCCGCTGCAGAAACGATATGGGGGCTTCATTGGCGTGAGGAAGTCTGCGCGTAAATGGAACAGTCAGAAGCGCGTGAACCAGCTCCTGCGGCAGTACCTGGGCATGAGGAGCAGCCGCAGCGGGCGCCCCGTCACCCGAGTGTGGAGGGAAGAGGACGCCCTGCAGTCTGTCCCTCTGCTGTAAAACAACCACCTCTTCTATTACCACCGCTCTGTCCCGCTGTGAACTGTTATGTCACAACCAGACTGCACCTTCTGTCTGTCCCAAACAAGGAATGTTCTGTGGAGTTCAGTTGTGCCAAAACTATTAAACGAATCGTAGGTGATTGTAAGTCAATAATTACATGCAGTTGTGCTTATTATGAGTTTACATACACTGGCAGAAATCAAGCGTTTCAGATTTTAAAAGAATTTCAGCTCTGTCAAATGGTACATGATGCACATGTCATACCTGATTTAAAAGCCCAGAACAGTCTGAATACAGCCAAGGCAGACGTTGGCCAACCATGAGTGAAAATGTTCATATCATCTGAAAGATTGGTTGCAATAAAAATAAATCCCACTGTACATTTTGCCAGGGTGTGTAAACTTTTGTGCACCACTGAACAGAGGCTATCTCACAACACAGTAGTAGTAGAGCTATCAATTTATGGGTTTCATCTTAATGTTTAAACAACACTTGAGGAACTTATCCCAAAAGATGGTGGATCAATGTTGAATCAAACAGAAAGTACATATGACAAGTTTTACTGTTTTTCTAATTTAGATTTTATTTGTTGGAATAATCCCTTTTGTAAATATGAACCAACCAGTAAGCCGTTTGTGATAAAAAGTTTAAAACTATGTTTAAAATTACAGGAGGTTTTATTGCAGTGGTGCTTATTTGTCATCATTCTGAAACCCATGGATGACTATTTAATGTGTACAATGAGTGTGCCAAAAAATCCAAAGATCAATAGATCGCAATTGCAGCGTTGATAAATTGCAATAATCAAAATATGCATTCAAGTTGTCAGGCCCAGATTTTTTTTTTACCAGATTACCTAGCCCTAGTAGTTGATACTCTAAAGGCTTTTAAATCGTTGTTTTGCTTGTTTCTTTGATCAAATGAAAGTCCCGGAAAATCTCACACTTTTTCATTTATTCCATTTGAAATCAATACAAAAATTGCAATACGTCGACCGTACATTAAATAAATATCCCGACAAACAGGAAACAGCGCTTTGTAAATATTTTTTTCCAATCTCTATGCATTACATTTGATGAAGCACGAAATAATATGATGTCATAGTAGTTATGAGCTATAAACGCACATTCATTACGTCCCACCGTATCACTTGACGACAGTTAGAGGCGGCCATCTTTTTAATGAATGAAATCTATTAAAGCTGCACTGTGGAACTCAAGGGAGGAGTTTATGTCAGCGGTCTCCACGGAAACGTGTCCTTTACATGGTAATCTCCTCAATTTATTTTTGTTGTTTGTTTATCAATCTTTATTTTTTTCATGCATTCTGTTTGGATAATTAGGATTTTTTCAAACTTTTTAAGGATTTTCTTATTTTGTGTGAATTTATCTTGACGCAGATACATAGTTGGAGAAAAACATCACCATGGAGATAGGTGGGTGATGGACACTGCCCCATGAAAGTTACCGAGTGCTTCTTTATTGCTGCGATTTTTTCAGATCTCTCAATTAGTGACAATAACATTAAAAAACAATTTGAAAATAAACCAAAGTATACATTTATGACATTTTGAACCGGTCAATCAAAATCACATAATCCGTCTTTCTTTTAATGTTTTTGGCACAACTTCAATTCCACATTTATTTTTTTCTTTCAATCGTTTTCCCTTCTCGAAGCACAGTTTCATTGCCATTCTGTTCAAAAAATATTTACTGGAGAAGTGCCATTGAGTATACTGTATTTTATGTTTTGATTAATGGGCCAAATGAGATTGGATTGTGTCAGCTGTGTTTTAATGCACTTTTCTGTGAACTCCACATCATGATTTCAGCACTTTGTCCAAAAATATGGATCTTAAAAAATAGACTCATGAAATCAATTAAACCAAGATAACCAGCGCTCCTAAATTAAAAGTGGTGTTTGTTTTTTCAAAAGGATTCGTACAGCCTTACACAACTGCTTAAGCGTTCAAGCTGCTGTCTAATTTCTAGCTTTGAGGGCTTCATTATTGAACACAATAGATATTTAATTGGTTTTCTGCACTACGTTTACTTTCTGGTCATTAATCCGGCTTGGTTCTGGTGGCTTCCTGCTGAGTCATGATAAAAGATGGTTTCCTTTGTATTGTGTGCTGGTATTGCCCACAGTGGAGATGGTCTCACATGTTGAAGTGGAGAACGAGTGGAGCAACAGTGGCCTCTAGTGGACGTCTCTCTTTTACAAAAGATCAGTGTTTTATATAGCACAACATTACTGCAGTGCTAATTTGATCAACTACAAAAATGTCAAGCTTTGTATCAATGCTGTGTTTTTGTTAACTAAAGCTAAATAATAACTAATTGACGGCAAAGATTAAAGGTTCACCAAAAATGACACGCATACAGTATTAGCCTTCTATAACGATGTAGAGATAAAAGGATATTTTGGTTGACTAAAAATGTAAAATATTTGGTTGTAGGAAAAAAAAAACATAAATGAATGAAAGAAACAAGGGGAGACTTGATCCCAGCTCCACTTTTCAATGCCAGAACCCAAAGCTGCTGCTCTGTCTATGTCGAGCATATTGAGTTGCATTAACCAATGTTATTTATATAGCACATTTCATATGTATGTAGAAATGTTTTGTTGTTTATATCATCGATAACTAGATAAAAAGATTTTTTGTCGACTAAAACAAATTCATGATTTGGTTCAATTCAATAGAACTAAAACTATACATTTTTGCATTTATTTTCACAATACAAAAACTACATATTTTTTGCCAACCTGTTTGTTTGGGGTAAAAAATATGAACGGTTTGAAACAAGCCTTGATAGAGAAATGTGCAATTATCTTATCCAATACACTGCACTTATTAGATGATTCAAACTAAAGCTGAAATGTTGATCCCAAACATTCTCCGTGTCAGTCAAGATCAAGTTTAAAATTAGATTGGAATTGTGGCCCAAGGACCATCTGCACCGAGCGACGCTCCTCACACTTCTACAAAGACAGCTGCAGCCCAATCTCTTTTCGTTTTGGTTTTTGCAGGCAGCTTGTGTCCGCTGCATCTCAAGTGTTTTCAGAGCTGAACAAATGTACTGTGTGCTTCTGAGTGCGTGAGGAGAGAGAATGCACGTGCATGTGTGTCTGTGTAAATAATAAATATCTCGGCATTCAAAATACAACTTTGTGAATAGTTTTAGATCACATGACACCATTGTTCAAGATGGAAAAGTACAATAAAATAGTTTGCTATTTCTTTGGTGATTGTCGTGCTAATCAATATTAAGTTTGGGAGACAAGATTTAGATGATGGGAGAGAAATTTACAGGAATGGTTGTCTGTAAGTCATGAGTAAACTTTACTTATATAGTGCATATCGCAGACCAAGCTTTAAGGATGTTTATAATAAACATTTAGATGAATTGTAGTTTTAGTGTTAACCTATCTTTGACTGTTCATGAGAATCCTACAATGATTTCAAACCATGGAAAGAATATCTATCAATTTGAAAAGCTTTTAGTAAATGTAAATAAAATACATTTTGACAGAGACTGCAATGAGCCAAACCGACAACAGTTTAGGAGGTTTGGAGAGTTCTCTTACGTCTTACAGCAGGGGCATTTACCAGTGCAATAAAAACAACCAAAATTATAAATTTGGTATCAAAAGGTTGTGAGCATGTCACAAGGAATTGTGATGGATGATAGATTGCTTCAGAAAATGATTGTGATAAATGAAGTATGTGCTAAGAAAATAAGTAATAAAAATTAATATTTTTGTCTTATTGAAATAAGCCTCTATACCTAAAATAAATATTGTTTTACATAAAAAGCAAAAATCTGTAAATGTTTGCAAATATAAATGTATGTGCAGACGATAAATGCAATGCGTCATTGTAAAACCATAACTAGACCGGGATCAGAAAAGATTGGTAATATTTTTTTAAACCCTCACTGAAACTGAGGCTCTGTAGTTTTGGTCTCTGATGACTATTTTAAACTATAATAAGTGTAAAAGATCTGCACAGAGAAAGTCTGCTTTGCCAAATATAAAGGATGGTATAGCAGTCTCTTTTATGACTGTAGAATGACAACATGTTGGAACCGTTCCCTTTCACAACCATTAAGTCACTGAATGAGATGTAGAGTCCTGATTTGACTCTAAATATCAATCATCTGGTAAAAAAGTAAAATCGAGTTGTTCCCTGCGCGGACTCATTGGTGTAGTATGAGGTGAAATTTTTATTCTCATAGTGTTTGCTACCTCCTTGTTGCCATGGTGTTAGTGCCTTGCTCAGCGTGGTATTAAACATGTACAATAGTAAACCAAAGACATTTTCATATGAATTCTAAGTTTGAGTTTGGTCTCCATTCTGCAGATATGACTTGTAACTTTTAGTTTAGAGCAACTCTGCAGAACACCCCAGAAAATAACATATTGGATGGAAATTAACATGACACTATGACACTAGTAATACCTAGTGTTCTACAGTAAATATAACAAAAGCCTGTGTGGAAAAGAACAGCCAAAGTCAAATTATCAGTGCGTTTAATTTGTATTTATCAATATATTTTCTTTTTATTGCTTTTACAAACTCTTACCAATGTCCAATCCTACATCTTAACACTGGTCGTCAAGGAAACACACCTCATGGAAGGAATTTGGCAGGAGTCAAACCAAATGTAGCTTATTCGTGAGTATATTCAACAAAGTGCCAAAAAACATCATTCAAAATGAAAAAGAGAAAAACAATGATGTGCCCAAATACAGGGGCTCAACGAGACGTTTAAGAAAGGTATAAAATACTCGTACGTAACTCAAGGACACAATAGTAATTACATCATAGTTATAACCACGCTGTTACCAATGGAAGAAGGCTGGAATAACTAAACTATTACAGTGAGCTACAGGGTACGGTGGCTCCAAAGGGTCAGACTTATAGCACTGCAAATGCTAAAAAGCAAAAATTTAATAATTTATTGGTCAGTCATGTCCATTATACAAATGAATTGTAGTTTTGCTCCAATCAGGAAGCAGTTTGGGAAGTTGAGCAATGGATTGCAATAAGACAGGAAGTTCTGAAATGGCATCACACTAGGGAGTCTCAGAATGAATTTAGAAATAGATAGATATATAAATATTCAATAAAAAATAAAGGTGTTTTATCTGTCATCTACCATCATTTTACAAACAGAAAGCAACATTTTTAACAAAATGATTAATACTGGAATTAATCACTGAAAAAAAGCTAAATTAAACTTAAAGTAAGAAGCTGTTTGTTGAATGTATTAATATCATAATTAATATTACGATTAAAGAGAAGAGAATGTTGCGGCTTTGAGATAGAAAATCAGAAATTAGCCTCCAAGAAAACTGAACACAGCTTTGAGACAGTGGAATAATTCTTTGTTCATTATAACATCAAACAATCATAGAGTAAGTATAATATGTTTTAAATCTCCATTTGGTTCTTGTAAGTATTCATAAAGAAGAATAACAGATGGACATACACTATGATAATGTTTAACACTTAATTTTTTACAGTACAATAAATCTGCAAAATCATGTTCCTGGAAATGTTGGAGACACATCAAACATAAAGGTGATGTTTTTTTTTTTTATCTAGCTATGTGCAACTAAATATCACATACTCCTCATCAAACGTTAATTGATGAGAAGTTGGATACATTTTCCGCAGGTGATTGTCAGTCAACGTTACTATGTAGAGTCTGGGGCGGTTTCCCTTCTGACCACCATTGTAGAGCTCTATGCCTAAAAAGTATCTGCCTCCATAACCTTTACTCATCTTCTTGAAAACATATTTAAACTATAAGGAAACTGTTCACCTATAGCATCGTTCATAAACTATTCATTAAAATGCATTTGACCATAAGTGAGATAGCGATTTACTTGCCTTTAACTCTTTAGCACAGCCTTACGTGAACTATTAGAGCTGCACCATTTTGGAAACCATTTGGGAAAGTGCAATATGTAAAAACGCAATAATTTCCATGCCCAAAGCAATCGACACGTAAGTTAGGTCTGCAGTGTTTGCTCTTCTCTCCTCCTCCATGTCGTGTTTTGCTCTTTTCAGTCACTCGACCAAAAGAGTCTATCGCTCTCGCTCCAAGTAGCAAAATGAATGCAGGAAAAAAACTAATTATTTAAAATTGTTACATCTTTCCATTATCAACGTTGCACTCGCTGTTATTGCCATACTTTTTAATATATTCTGCATAAACTATCAAATATATTTTTTTAGAATACATTTTGGAAAATATAGGACTGTTAAGTTACCAAACCATAATTCAGGTGTTACCACATTTAAGGCTTTGTGTTACTGCGATTGTCTCTAGCTACTCAAACAGGGGAGATTAAGCAGTTTCTTTTCCCTTCAGAGCCACCGTACTGAGGAATATAGTTGCACTTTGAATTAAAAAATGAGTATTGTAGTCTTATCACATCACATGGTCATAGTCGGTCAACAGCTAGCCCCATTGCAGACATGTCTTCGGAAAAAAAAAAGTCTTACAAGGATACGCACACAAAAACAACTCCATTTGCATTCCGTCGGGAGAGAGACAAGCAGATGAAAGTAAAAAAACACGTCGAAGAAGTACAGTTTTTTCATATATATTTATAAGTCTCTGTTGTCGCGGCGCCTTCGTGGATGGCTTTAGTCTGGGAAGCGTTGGCAGGCCTTCTTCCAGCGGCAGGCCGTGCACCACTGGTCCTTACGCTCCACTCCGTACACTTTGCGGCACTTTTTGGCCTCGCTGCGTCCCTTCCTGTGCGCAAAGAATAATCACGTTCACTTATTGAGTAGAAATGTAAGTAGTAAGTAAGTAATGTTTATTTATATAGCTCATTTTAAAATGTTCAGAGTTCACTTAAGCCTACCTTAAGTGAATATTACTACAAAGCCTTTTGTATCATTATGATTTTACTCTAAACCAGTGGTTCTCAAAGTGAGGGTCAGGACTAGTCGCAAGATACAAAGTATCTATTTTAGATATACAGTAGCCTAACTATTCAATCATTCTATGTACATTTGTATTATCTGATCAAGAAAAACTATAATTCAAGATAAATCAGGTCAGATAACACAATACATGCCTCAAACAAGCAACATTACGGATATTGTAACATGTTTTTCATGCTTGAAATTATTGCTAGTTGTATTGCTAATTATTTATAAAGTTGGGGTTGCAAGTAAAAATTGTGGTTATTTAGGGGGTCCCTGTTTAAAAGGTTTGGGAACCCCTGCTCTAAACACTACTAAAGCCTTCCTCTACTGTGGCCCCTGGGCCTCCAGCAGACGTCACATCATCACAGATTCAATCTCAAAGTAATCTGAAGGTGAGATGGACGGATAAATGCAGACGTATGATGATAATGTTTATCTTCTAAAGCAGCAATGGAAGAAATGGTGCAAAGGGGCTTTAAATGTCACCAGTCAACACAGAACTAGGATTCATAAACTTGTATTAAGTTCAAAACAAGCAATGGTATGTGTCAACTATTCAAGGCAAAAATATTAAACATGGTCTGACATAATGGTCAATATGATCACAACACAACACAACAGACATGTGACAATTGTGATATATGTGTCCTGTTCAAAAGAGAACAAAAAGCCGGACTAAGTCGAGACACAGACCTGAAGGAGCAGTGGGTGCGGGACGGGGAGGCGATGGCGGGCTGCAGTCTGTTCTGCTGGAGCCACTGTTCCCCCACGCTGACGGAGCGGCAGCGCGGCTTCACCATCTGACAACACAAGGGTCAAATGCACGAGTCAAATACAATGTATCTGCTTTTCAGTGGTGACGCCTCGGATGGTGCTTCTTCTAAGCGTCTAAGTGCTAAGAAGACAAAGGGAAGAAACCTTGGCTCCTTTCACTTACTGACCTGTACGTTAGTGACACTCTTAATAATCTGAGGTGTTCCTGATCTTTATATTTTGTTGTGTTATGTGTTTGTTATATTTACCTTTTCTGTGTTTGAATTGGATGATTCTCTTATCTCTTAACTTTGTAAAGCCCTCAAATGACTACTGTTGTGATTTAGGATTATACTAAATTTAATTGATCCACATTTGAGCCCTAACATCGGACCAATCAGGTGCTTTCCCAGAATTTGGCTCAGGTTAGCGCCAGTGAGAACAGTCCTGATTGGCACCGTGGTTACAGAGTTGTTGCCATCCACAAATTTGGCTGACATCAGAGGTGGACTCCTATTTTGTCTATGGGTTTTGTTTAGACAACATTCAGTGTGTGTGTGTGTGTAATCATTTCATATTCCTGTCTTCTTTAATTCTTCCTGCACAGCCATTTTGCCCACTTGCTGGTTAGAAATGATTGGTAATTCTGTTGTGTTCCTTATTTTCATCTCCTATTCTTTTCATAATATTTTTGTGTGTGATTGTTTTTTACTATTTAGACCAGGACACGCTGAGCCTTTGAAAACAGACATTTATGTGGACCACATTTCATTTAACGAGATCACAAATGAAAAAGTACCGGAGTGTTGCTGTGTCCAGGAGCTGCAGGGGAGGGCGCCCAGGGCTGAGCAGTAGGGCTCTTGGGGGCCACAGACACCTGGATGGGGCTGCAAGCCTGAAAACATAAAAAAAGAAACTTAATTCATGATGTATGTAGCCTTGTCCAATCTATAATGAAAAGTGAATATTCTGCCATTCTCTACAATTCATAGTACACTCATTTTGTAGGGCTGCCCTCTAGTGGCGCTACACAGCTTCTACAATCAAGATTTTTGCAAAATTTTTTTATTATATTTTTTTTGGTAAGAAATTGTGGTGAGAAAAAATACAAGCATAACACTCCATTGGTATTTTATTCACAAAACCGTTACGTGAATAAAAGGATTGGTCTGCACAGGTTCATGTAAATAAATATACTACTGAACAGTGTGCCTTCAAAGAAGTACAAATGGATTAAACACTTAAGAAAGTTAAATAATCTCTTAACATCATAGTCTGAAGATTCATCAAAGCGTAATGAGTTTGAAAACAACGTGTTTAGACACTTTGACAAATAAGAAACACCTCCAGGAACAATGCTGTGACAAACTCAAACATGTGTTCGCACACCCTAAAGTCAAAGATCCGGTTCAATTAGCTAATCACAAAGACTGCAATTATTGAAGTTCTCTGCAAACAAAAAGGGCGTAAAGAGTACGGAAAAAATGTCTTCATTCTAGGAACTTTCCACTTGAGTTGAAGATTTCAATAGAACAGAAGCATTAGGTTAAACGTAATTAAACATTTATTCCAATAATTCTACTTAAAAAGTGAAGCAAGAAGTCTTTACAAGTTAGTGCGCGGACGTAGCGCTCCTTGTATTATTACGCCTCACAATATAGTGCCCCTTTTTATCCGCTGAGAAAATCGACATGTTACATTTCTGTGTTACTATACTTGGTAGTGTAACACATCACATAACTGTATTTAAATAGGGAACACGTGGAAGAGTTTGGTAGCTTCTAACGGGAGCTGATTTGTTCCTACACGGTATGTGGAAGAGGCTGCGTCTGTGCTCCGTTTGCATGACAGAGCGCACGGGCAAAGACCAGACAGGTACATATCAACTAGTCTAAGGTAAGGTAAGAACATATGTCAGTATGTAAAAACTGTGGCCTATTCCTTTAACCCGCAAGCTCTACAAAGCTTACACGGAAGTGCTGGTGCTCCTATTAACTTCCATTGAAAAGTAAGCTACTCTAGCTCAGTAACCGTTTGTGTCACACACACACCATTCTGTGGTTTGCATCTCTGTATGATCCTGGTATTCATGTGGCCATCATGTCTACATATCTGCTGTGCCCCCTAATGCCGCGTTCAGACCGGATCATGCGTTGCATTGGCTTTCAATGCAAAGTCAATGGTAACGCACGTTCGAGCGTCAAAACACACGAGCGTCTCGGAATACACGCACGGACTGCTCAGTAGAGACACACGGACTGCGCTGGAAAGTCGAAGGGGAGAAGCAGGGGCAGAAAATCGACGCACGCAGGAGATGAATTTTGCTCAACCTTTCCTCAGGACGCTCACGCAGCGACCAATCAGAGAGCCGCAAAGTGATCACGGGGACATTAGCGGTCTGAGCGAGCAGACTGAAAATACTTGTAAATAGCCAAAACAGGAGCTACTGTACATCAGGACTAAACCAGGGTTGACAAATGGGGGACATAGTGCTTGTTAAAATGTGAGTTTTCATGCTCCCGTGACTTTATGCACCTGCTTCGAGCGTGTTTGCTGATGCGGAAGTACCGTTTAATAATAAAATAAACTTATTGCGCACCTCCGTGAACACATACTACTGTTATATAAGTCTGTGGAAGGTCTCTGAACACAGACACGCTGCAAAGCTGCATTATTGGAGAAGATCTTTACACAAGAAGCCGCTAGCTAAACTCTGTTAGCATCAAAGCCCACCGGCTACTTCCACCACTTGCGGCGCGCGCCAGGACCCCTGGTCTGAAGAGCCAGCTTGTTGCTACTGCCATCATTTGGCATCACTTTCAGCTATGAGTGACCTCATCTCTCGGTTATTCCACTCCTTCTATGGTCTATGTTTATGTCCATCCTTTAATATGCTATCTAACCCAGACTGGTTTAAGCTTTTTATATGTAGATTTGATAGTTATTTTTAAAAAGACAGCAAGGAAAGTGGATGATAAAGTGTACCTTAATCTAACATATAGTTGCTAGTGGTACAGACCTGGTCCCTGGTCGGTCTGGAGGGGACTCTGCACCACTGGATTACAGGACAAACTTGTCAGGACCATCGCTGCCATGATCTCATCCATGTCCACTGACTCAGGGCTGCGGACACTGAACACAGGAAAATGGTCAGCAAAACAACAACGCTACTGCAAGACAACAATCCATTTTATTTGCTCAGACTACTATAATATACTTTGCATCGTTCTCATTCTGTCCCTTCCTACAATATAACCCAGACAGTTAAACTAACACCCTGAAGATCTCAAAGACTACATCACAGGGACCCAACATCAGCAATTGTAACTATTATTTACTAATAATTAGGGCTGTAAAATTATCACGTTAACGCACGTTAATAAAGTGTTTTCATTAATTGCGTTTTAAAAAAATTACGCATTTGACCTGCCCATGTATCCCATAATAACACTCAGAATGCCCCGGACACATTCGTGTGTAAGATGGCGAGAGAGCAGGTAGGCTCTCTGGGAATTCAAGTTTAAAATGAATATTATATTATATTTATATTATATAAATAATTTTTAAGCTGTAATTAACTCGACTGAAAATTGTGATCGTTTGACAGCCCTACTAAAAATTCCTATTGCAATAACATCAGTAGGTAAAACTAACCAGTCTCAACAAAACGGGTTTGTTTATGTTGTTAACAGTAAGCATGCTAGCATGAGTGAATGTTTACATCTGTTTACATTGTTTTAATTAGCTTTAGCTTTGTCCATCACAAGTCAACAGTGCATTAAAATTGTAGCTAGATTTGAAGTGCCTGCCGCTCACCTGCAGGATGTGTGTCGGTTGTTGAGATGAACGGGACGTCCCAGAGACAGGCTGGTCCAGTTTGAAGTCTTCGGTCCCCCCTCGGTTTGTGCACATGCCTAAGAAAGATGTGACATGGCATTGTTATCGCAGGAGATTTTTGATTGGCCACCAGCGAATAACAGCATCTAGCGACATCAATAAACATCCGAATCAGATTTTTTTATTGCCATTGTGAGTAACAGGAAGTCTTTAGCTCTCAGAGCAAAAGGTTATAAAAGTAAACATAGAATAAGGCATGCATTTTTTTTTTTTTTTAATTGGGCCAAACTTTATGATGAATCCAATACTCTCCCTCCTGTGATGGAGTTCATGGTGATTGTTCATATCTAATTAACAATCTTTTGTAGCTTTTCTGCTGATTAGGTTTTCGCTTTTCTTTTCTTCTCTTTCCCTGTACAAACAGCCAGAAGCAATCACATGTCTCCAAAAGTTTGTACAGTAAACTGTTCATCTTATACAAGAAAGGCTCATACAGTAGGAACATTATCAAGAATATTTGCAAAAGATTAAGAGCTTTAACCTTACACTACGTTATCAGGTTTAAAATGACTATCATTGATTGTTCAGAGGAAATGTTGTCAATTAGTTAATAGCAGTTTTATCTTTATTAATACAAACACAACAAAGAGAGCTCAAACATAAAAACTTTAGGCATAAAAGATCATTTGTTGCAACATGTCAGCTACCATCCAGACATTAACATTTTAATATATACCCATATCAAATGAATGTACCTGCTATACTGTTTCAACTATAAACTAAACTGTGAATGTAGGTGCAATAATAACGGCTTATTAAACGAGCGCGACCTTGGTCTTTTTGCACAGACCTCGTCACGGCTCGGTCTGTACAAAAAGCCCGCGGTCTGACATTTCTGTGTGCAGACCGAGCAAGCGAGGTTAATAAATGTTTTATCATATGACTGTTTTTAATTTGTGCAAATATCAATCGGTTTCAACTAGCAAAAACACATGCAACCAAACTGTCAAATTGTGACATGAATAACTTGCTTATCAGATGATTGAGGTCACCCGCTGGTAAATTAAATCTCTTCTGTGTCTTTACCAATGCTTTTTAGATATTTGTGAAGTATGTTCATGTCCGACTTGGTTTTCCTAATCGTGTTTTTACCTTTCTGGTCTGTAACAAAGTTGTCAATCTCTTCTTGACTGTTAGGAGTTGTGTTTTCGTCGTTATTTGCTGTTATTACTTCCTGTAGCTCTTCAAACTCGTCCGGATAATAGAATTCACTGGGAGAATGCTCCCAGTCGTCGCTCATTCTTTTTTTTTACCGAGGAAAGATATCAAAGCTGATACGCGCTGCGGACCAATAGTCATGGTAACAGTCCAAGATGGGAAAATATCAGACCACAAATCAGCCAATCAGAGCGCGCGTAAGATCCAAGTCATATAACAAAAGGTGTATAATGACCTGCATGTTGGAAGGTGTGGTGGTGGACGCTCGCTCCTCTGGTCCCATAGCTGCCATGGTGCCACTGCACACGGTAAAGGGACTCAGCACTGCTCCCTGACAAAAGACAAAAGCACAAACACAAAATAAAATAATGCATTTAAATCAATTTAAAGATTGGGTTATTTCTTAATGCTTTTTGATTGGTCTTCGGCTTTTACTCTGTCCTTAAAAACCTGGGATTTGGACACAATCAGACTTTTTTGGTTAAGAAATGTAAATTTTTTGTTCTGCTATCAAGAGATTGCTTTGCTTTTAATTCTTAAAAGGGGCCGGCCCAACTTTTAATACAAACCAAATCCAAATTCCAGTCAAAACAACAAAATTTAGATGCCCTCAAGCTGACGTCCCATTAAGAAAGTTTAAATGCAAAAATTCAAAAGTCTGGTTATTTTGTATTATGGGAGACGCAAGTTTTGCATCAAGTTTACATCGACTATATAACAATTCCATACATTTTTTGGGATTATTTAGGAGGTATTAGACACATTTATTCCACATGGTATCATTATATCAAATATACAGCCAGCCTCGTAGTTTAACAGACAATTGTAGTATTGCATGCAAACAGTAGCATTTTATCACCAGTTAAATCAGAGGCTCATTCGATTATCTCCGAGAACCAGGATGTTGACAAATCTTGTGTTTTGTTCAGGATGTTGGTGATATTGTGCTCTTCAGACTTAATCTTTTGGTTTGGGTGAGGCCTGCAGCTCCTGGGGTAAAATGGGGTAACGGTGCATTCAAGGAACACAAGAAAATTGTCTCATATCTTGCTACATCTAGGAATTTTAAAAAAATCGAAGAGTTGCGCGGTTCAAGTAGGCCTGGGCGATCTCAGGAAGAAAAACATAATTTTCCTCATATTGATCTCAACTTACAATCTTTTCAAATGTGCCTATCCATCCATCCATCTTCTTCCCCTTAAATGAATTCATTTCTGTAATTATATATACCAGTACGAACCAAGAGGGCACTTTTTCATCCATAGTACCACTTGATACTTGAATGAATGAATGAATGAATGAATGAATGGTCTTTATCCTGACAATATAAACAGGAAAACATGTAGGCTGTATACACAAACATATTCATAGAGGCCATTGTCAAATAAAAATAGATACAAGTATCTTTTTCCTTGTAATTTGTCCGCAGGGGATTGGGAAAAAGCAGAAACAGATGCTATAATATATTTCATAACGCTGCATGGGGAGGACTTTGAATGTGGATCATCGTGTCTTTAATATCTTACATAAATTTAACCTTTACCCTTTAATCCAGGAAATGTTCTATAAAGCAACCTGGCTTCCCATAGACGTCTCCTTTTTAATTATTCTTTTATTAATTTCTGCGATCGATTTGTATTGTCCTCTATCTATAAAATTTTTATCCCCACAACTCTGGTGCCTAAATGGTTAAACAATAAAAATAAATTTAAAAAAACATATTCACTTTTAATAAATGGCAAGATATTAGCACATGTTGGTTACTTAATAGCAGAAGATTTCTTAAAATCTAAAACATTTTCATTATCTCAACGTATCTCCTCAACCTGGATAATGCTGCTACTGCTCCTGCTACTGCATTTCCCTTCGTGTTGACCGCACTTTAATGAAGAGCTGAAATGGGGCCAGCCTAATTTCCCCCTTTTCCCCCTGCGCCTGAACGCATCTCAAAGCCCGAGTCTCTTGCCGCTCCTGACCAATCAGCGCCGTGGATCTGTAGTAAACAAGCGGCGGCGCGTGGGAGGAGCGAGCGTCCCTATTGGCCGCTTTCGGATTTCGCTGCACACACCTCCGCTTCAGCAACGTGTTTGGGCACGAGCTTCGCCGGGAGGGTCTTTGCAGGGCGGCCGGGATCGCGCAAATAATACTGTTTTAACATGCACATAGACATCAGCACAAACCATCAAAACACTACAATTGCATTTAAAGCATCTTGAGAAACGCTAGCCCTGTTTTCAGCGGGAAAACAAAGTCAAAATACGCTTAAATGGGTCGTTGACATCCACCAATGACATCCAAACTATCTCCAAACTCGACGCACACGGTTACATACAACATATATTTGAATGCATCTGTATTATCAAGCAACATGCAACAAAACTGACGTAAATAGCGCGACCGGATCATGCGCATAAGCTTCCAATAGTTGCCCGTGTTTACCAACTGCATTTTCGCCGGTGGTGGATCCGACTCTGCAAAAACAAACTTAACCGTGCAGACAAATGACTAGTTTCGACGCAAAACGGGCTTTGCATAAGTTATTGCACCGTAAACTGAATCCATCACAGTTCCCTACACGGCAGCGCAGATTTTTGGAAGTGAAACAGCCCCCCCCCCCCCTTCCCCTCTCTCCCTCTCTTTCAATCTTCCCCCCTTTCACAATGCCAAAAACAACAATTTTACTTGCAATTTTGCAGAATAAAGGCAGGTTTGTTTGCACTTACAGTCTCGGCTGGTCCTGCCTTGGCACCGGGGACAAGGTGGTGAAGGGGGGTGTCCTGAATTCCTCCTCGTTGCCACCGGCTCGCTGTGGCTGTCTGTCTGGAGATCGAGAAGCCGGAGAGAGAAGGGGGTTGGTTGGATTGGCGCCTACGTGTGTGCGCAGATCGGACCAATGCCGGCAGATGACAGCTGTGCACGGGCAGAGAGCGCACAGATACGACCCCACTACATTAAACGGCGATGTAGGTGAAGGGTTACAAGCAGCATCCTCTGACTGAACACTGTCCCTCCTGTCTGTCTGTCGGAGTGCGATTGTCTCCGTGCACCGTGAACGCCTCACTGTTTATGTCCTGTTTATTCCGGTCTGGTTGAGTTCTACATAACACAATCTGCACATGCATTCCTCCCCATCGTTTATTTCAACTCACTTTTTCAGCCTATTTCAAAGCAGAGAAGATGGAATTCCAAAAAATAACTGGTGGAAGCTATTGCATCCTTGTTAACTCATCATGGCTATTTTTATCACTGTGCAGGGTGATGTCATTGTATCACTGAGCACAACATGTGATGGGAGTCTCACAAAAACACAGCCATTTGAGTCGCTTTCTGCAGCCAACAAACACTTGCCTTTGCTGGTCATTGAGCAGCATTAAAGATATGCATACAATTTCATTCCATGCATGTATATACCATATACTTGAAATGTGGAATGCATTAATAGAGATTGAGATAGACTTTAGAGATTTGATTTATTGTATCAGTTATGGCCTCACATGTGTTTATTTTTTTATGTATTTGATTTATTTATAGTTAACCGGGGCATTGCACATTAAGTGTGACTGCAGTTTACAGTGTTCAAAGAATTAAAACATAAAACATAAAATACAAATACAATTTAATACCCTTAATTGCAAATAGATGCAATATATGCAAAACACAGGTTTTTACAACCTGCTCAATGACTACTTTACTATTATTATTATTATTATTGAACCATGTCTTTAGGCCTGTCCTAGTGAGCTGCACTATGTATACATAGGAAGGTAGGAGGAAGTATGTATAGAGAGGGAAGTCTGGGTGTCTGCTTTGACTGTTGCCTCTGTGACCGGAAAACACAGTAGAAACATTTGAATAAAAATGAATGGATTGATATTTGATCCAAGCAAGAAATTTTTCTATTGAAGCAATTTCTTGGCGGCACGGTGGCTGAGTGGACAGCACTCTCGCCTCTCAGCAAGAAGGTCCTGGGTTCGAATCCCGGTTGGACCAGGGCCTTTCTGAGTGGAGTTTTCATGTTCTCCCCGTGTCTGCGTAGGTTTCCTCCGGGTGCTCCGGTTTCCCCTACCACTAAAAATATGTACAATAGGTCTGGCATGTGCCTCCTGTACTGGCACCCCCACTCTCAAAAAATAACAATTGTAAACCGCTTTGTGACTCCGATGTGCAGTGAAAAGGCGGTATATAAATAAAGATTACTTACTTACTACTTACTAAATTATCATTATCATTTTATAAATACACATTGAAATTTCCCCAGTGAGAGAAAAAGGTTGATCTTATGTATTCAAAATGATGTGTGCCACCTGATCTGTAGAATGAAATGTAAAATGTTACAGAGTTGTGGCAAATAGGTGATTGCACTTATCTTACTCTCATATCCATGCATTAAAGTGTTTGTTGTGATGAAGCTAATGCAACACTATAGCAACAGCTCTATAACAATACCTGTGTATAAACCGCTAAAGCTAAATTTGAAAAGAGGTTTATTTTGTCCACCTTCAGGCTGTATGTTTCCACAACCAACAACTAAAGTGTTTTAGCTTCATGCTGTCTCATGGTGATCAAAGCTCTCTAGTGAATCCAATCTATTTTGACGTGTGTCCTACAGCTACTAAAACTTGATGGAGTCAAAATAATAAGTCAATAAACTCGCTCTAATCACACATTTAAAAAACAGCACTTCCTCGTCTCTCTCTCGCTGCTGTTCACATAAACACAGGATGCAGGAATGTGTGCTATGATCACACGCTCTGGAGATCAGCAGCCTCATACTTTTATTGCTCTCCACATACCGCTCTAACAAAACATAAAATAAATCAATTTATAGGCCACAGAGTTTAAAGAACATGAATAAGGTGCAGCTAATAGTCCAGCCAGTAATGCATACAGCATATACATTTATTAATCTAGGTGCATTGTGCAATCTCCATTACGGCATCTGCAAAAAAGTAAAAACCTATATCTGGCTTATGAGATATCTGCCTAAGCATTCTGATTTACCATTTTCTATTTTGTAGCATGAGCAGAGGTGGACTGTGAATCAAATGTGAAAGTAATATTTCATTCAAAGTTGTTCATGCATAAAGTGAGTAAAGTACTGTAAATGTAACCACAGCTCAGAATCCACCCTTTATAATCACATGACAAATTGCCCATGTCTGGCTGAATCGGGACCAGGTTGTGTGTCGCACTGGGCGGATTAGTGGGCCTGTCTGCGCCCTGTCCCACCAGACATCTAGTCAGCAGGGATTTCAGAGCCAGAGAGAGTAACCCAATCCTGTGCATGGTCCCAGACTATTCACCAATCCACTCATTAAGCACTTTGGCCAAATGGCAGCTGCCAGACGGAAACAGATCATGGATTTGTGTGAGATAATATAATGTCTAATTGCAAGTGTATAAAATGGTGTAGAATGATTAACGGGAGCTTTGATTGTTTAGGAACCACTGAAATATAAATTACTCATGTTATAAATATTGTATACTGTATGTTTATATTTATAAAAGGAGCCCGACAAAGAAAACACATTTTTTAATTCCTTACAAAAAATTCTTCAAGATATACAGAAGTCTAGTAATATTTGAAAACCAACTGAGTGGGTCGTACTCATGTCTCTCACAACAAGAGATACTTTGGTATCTCTGGACCAGACCTTTCTATGTCGAGTTTTTTTGTTTTTACATGTGTCCAGATGGGTTTCCTCTGGGCGCACCGGTTTCAGCCATCACCAACACATGCAACTATGGATGTGGTGAGTGAACTGCCAAATACCTCCAGCGAGTAAGGCAGGTCCTAAGAAGCCGGCTCAATGGCAAGAACAAGGCCCGGGCAATTAACAGCTACTCCCTGCCGCAGTGATCAGATACCCTGCAGGAATAATCAGGTGGCCAAAGGAAGAGATTCAGACCACGGATGACTCAAAAGCTCCTCACCATGTATGGCGGGTTCCATCCCAAATCCAACACCCTGAGACTGTACGTAGGCCGTAAAGAAGGAGGCTGCATACTAGTGAGTGTTAGAGCCACTGTCCAGGACGAAACATCCAAACTCCATAACTACATCATGGAGAAGGCCAAAACGGATGACGTACTCAGTGAATGTCTCAGGCAGTGGCGAGATGAGGAGGTGCTGGAGGAGAGCCCATCATGGAAGGACAAGCCCCTACACGGCATGTACCACCGGAGCATAACAGAAGTGGCTGATCTCAAGAAGTCCTACAAATGGCTAGAAAGGGCTGGCCTACAGGACAGCACAGAGGCACTCATCATGGCTGCACAGGAACAGGCACTGAGCACCAGAGCGATAGAGGCCCAGATATACCACACCAGACAGGACCCAAGGTGTCGGTTGTGCAAAGAGGCACCTGAGACGATCCAACACATAATTGCATGGTGCAAGATGCTGGCAGGGAAGGCCTACATGGAACGCCATAACCAAGTGGCTGGCATAGTGTACAGAAACATCTGTGCAGAGTATGGGCTGGAAACCCCAAGGACTAAGTGGGAAACTCCTCCTGGTGGAGAATGAGCGTGCAAAGAATCTGTGGGACTTCCAGATACAGACCGACCGAATGCTAATGGCGAACCAACCTGACACCGTGGTGGTAGACAAAGGGCAGAGGACAGCCGTGGTGGTGGACGTGGCAATTCCAAGCGATGGTAACATCTGGTAAAATGAACACGAAAAGCTTGAGAAATACTAAGGGCTCAGAGAGGAGCTGGAGAGGGCCTGGAGGGTAAAGGTGACAGTAGTGCCCGTGGTGATTGGTGCACTCGGGGCAGTGACCCCGAAGCTGGTGGAGTGGTTACAGCGGATCCCTGGAACAACCTCAGAAATCTCGGTCCAGAAATGTGCAGTGCGAGGAACAGCAAAGATACTCCGCAGAACCCTCAAGCTCCCAGGCCTCTGGTAAAGGACCCAAGCTTAGAGAGGGATAAACGCCCGCGAAGGGCGAAAGGTGTATGTTTTTATGGATGCAGATTGTGAAGTGACTGAACCTAAACCAAAGAACATACTGGCTTTTATTTATCCAGGATCTTTTCTTATAGCCCTCCAATGTCTCTTTTATGCTTTCCATAAAGTCTTCACTGTACTTTCCACAACGTTTATTCAACAAACTCTGCTAAATAATTGATATCATGCAAAAAGGTTCGAGTTTTGGCAAGTTTATTGAGGTCGAAATGCATGGCATGAAAACTGGTATGACAAGAACTGCCCCACCCAAAGTCAACCTTTGAATCATCTCCAGCTTAGTCGCCGCTCCCATCCCCACACATTCACCTGGAGGATGGTGGCTTTCTTCTCAGTGGTAAAAACGACATTAAAACGGAAAGGCATGAAAAAGACATGAAAAGGAAAAATGTAAATAAGCACCACTCAAACATATAAAACATGCAGTTACCACTTTGTATAAGCTCTGATTTAGAAACAAAAATAAAGTAGAAATGCAAAAACACTGTTGTGGCCTTTTTTAGCTGTCATTGTTTACTGTTGTCTGCTCAGAAGAAGCATCATTACATAAACAGACCAGGTTTTTAAACTACTTCTCAAAAGACCGTTCTCAGTTGAAATCTTGAATGAATCTTGCATTGATTTAAACACATCATCATTTGAGGTTAGAGTCACAAATGCAGGAGATCAGACTTAGTATTTTCATGAATGGGATAGAAGATAACATTTGCTTTTGTTATTTATTTATTTAATGATTTTTGAAGTTTAGGATTGCCATAGAGCATCATCAAAATTCAGTAAATTAGCATAAATAAGTGTAATTCACAATCTGGGTTTGAAAAGCAAGACATCTCATGTAAAAAAAATGAAAATAAAATAAAGCAATGTGATGTTAAAGAAGAAATATCACAGATTGTTTTGTCCATTAAAATGACATTCTAGAACACACATAAATAGTTGGTAAAACAAGTGTGAAGGAAAGAAGAAATAGCTTTCCAACTCTAGCTCCCTATGCTACCAGAGGGAAGATTCAAATTTATTTTGAAAAAAAAATAAAAAATCAATTTTATGTTATTGTAAAGAATGTCCTTCAAATGCAGTGTGATACAGGACTGAGACAGGAGCTTTTAGTTCCATGTTTGTGCCCGAAATTCCTGATGTTAGCATATAACAGCAATCACTAGCAATAACTCTAGGTCTATTTGTTGATGCAAAGCTCAAAAAATGTGATTTGCATAATTAAAGGCATTACTTAACAGACTAGACCTTTGCTCAACAGAATAGATGTAATTCTTCACATTGTGGTGTGTCTTAGCTATGGTTCAGTTTAGTGATAGTGAGTGAAGAGGTTGGTCCATAAGAGCCAGTTCTCCTGTTGGAGCCGGTGCTTCACGGGTCTGTCCATCTGCTGGGTCCATGCTGAGTGGAAAGTCCTCACTCCTCTCCTCCTGTCAGGGCCCGGCTGAAGGCTACTGGGTGTAAGATTTCCCCCGCTCCAGTGTGCTTTCGGGCATGGATTTGTGGCTCCTCCATGATGTGAAGTCGTCAGGGCCCGGGTCTAGAAGTCGCAGCATATACAGTATTATATATTTTTGAACAGAACAGAACAGAAACTACTCTTCTGTCTCATCCATCCTCCAGTTCTCAATAGTATGTATTAACCATTTAACATGTATGACAGCCAGTGTGGTAATTGTGGATAAGGTTCTTTATCCTCTCTGATGGTAAATCTGTCCATTCCTTTCAGAAAAAAACCCTTTCTGTAAATTCCAGGGCCGCCTTGCAAGAACTACATTGAGATTTCCCCAGAGCGGCTCAATTACGTAATCATTTTAAAACAGAGAATATGTTTATTTGACACTAAACAGGTTCACACAAACACTAACTATACACTTTTTGTGTCATTAATAATCTACAAAATAAGGCCAAACAATGACATTTCTGGCACAAATGTAAATTATACGGTGTGTGGGGAATATACTTTCACATTTCTGAAAATCTTTAAGCTTAATGCTGGGGTTCCTAACTTAAACCCGAACAGAAAGAGTCTTGTAAATAAAGTACAAATCAGACCACAACATGCTGTCTTCGCCTTTTTAGTAAACATGTTATCTTTTGCATACTTGTAAAAAAGAGCCCCAGTCACAACTGAGCTGAGTGCTGATTGGCTGATTGGTGTTTCTGTCTAGAAAGGCTGATTTAGAAAACTAGAAAAATAGTTTTAGAATAAGATGGATTTTATGACACATTTCTAGTTTAAACTGTTGATCTCCTCAGTTTTAAGTATACAGCAACACCTCAAATGTGTTTGCTCCCTTTGCTGAACTGTGTATTGTACTGCAGTTACAAAGTGGCCAAAAAATAGTTAAATCTCCCAATGTTTTTAGTTCAGCATGATTGGGTCTTTTAGATAATCAATACTGTTGGAACTTACCGGCCGTGTCTGTGGTCTGTGTGTCACTGGTGCCGTTTGCTGTTGCATCTTTCCCAGAACCTCCCTAACAAAATCAAAAACATGAGTGAGTGTGACCCGTGCCATACATTTTTGTATGGCCTAACCATGGTATGTGTCAAGCCTGGTTTGTGCCTTGACACACAGATACAGAGATGTTTAGTTTGTCATCTGTGTATTACTTTAGCACAGAACAGTCCAGAGCACAATGGCCTCTTACTGATTGAACATGGGTCCCCAATTTCAAACAGTACTTTACAGTGATGAACAACGTATAGTTTTTCTTTAAAAATTCATTTAAAACCCAAACACATATACAATTTAGTTGTCAAAATATTTTCTTTCAAAGCGCTGGCTTAGCACTCAACATCACTTTTTAATTTGTTTCTGGAAAGTTCAAAGTTGCATTCCACAACTGTGGAACTGTGAACAGACTTGAACCAGTCTGATGTAGACAGAAAGTATGAAGGTTTATGACTGATAATGTTTGGTGTTCGTGGAGCTCTTACTGTAGCTGCTCCGTTCACGTCATATGCATTTCCACCTTTTCTGAAAACAAAACAAAAACAAACATAGTTTCATGTTTAAACCCACAAATGATTAACATAAGATTTTTCTTTTTATCTTTCAGTTGATCACTTGTGTGACAAAATTAATAATTAAAAACCCACAAATGTGTACAGCCTATGCAGGTCCCTTCCAGCACATTATATGGTGGTATTACCTCCATATAGACTAGCTTCAGATTTCAGTGAAATGGCACTGGTCAGTTATGTACAATAAAGACATCAATGGTCCCAGCACAGATCTCTGTCGATTAGATTAGATTTACCAGAGTGCTCATCATCACAAGTCAAGAGTGCTTTAAAATACCTTATCATTAAATTAAACAGACAAAAAAATTACATACTTTTCGAATTTAGCAGATGCGGTTTATATGTGAGTGCCAAGTACTGTGTGTGCAGTATTAATACTATATAATAGTTAAATGGTCCGTATTGGCCAAGTAGGAGGCCCATGGCAAAGTTGTTCCGCAGCCACCATGCACTGGAGGATAGTCTCTGGACAGTTAACTCCACACAGACGCCAGTCACTTCAGGTTTGAGTCCTGATCGATCCTGGTGACACAGGAGGTTCAGACTCCACCCAGAGCCACAGACAAACATGTCATTATACCACTGAAGGCGGATTCATCACTTCCTTTGTCAGAGTTTTTAACAAACATAAGTTGACAAATGCTGCCACTCTAAACATGATCGTTGTTTGTCAAGTCACTCACCACCGCTCGCCAATGTACACACCCTACTCTTCAAACAATGCAGGCTCTAATATGACTTATGACTCCTTTCTCTCATTGCATGTTGTCCTTCTGGCATTCAAAACAGCTCGAGAATGTGTCAGATAAGACTTCTGCTAAAACCAAGTATTGCAACCAAACATTTAAATCTAGTAAACTCGACTAGCCTTGTTACCAAACAAGCACAGATTAAAATTTGTGGCCATAACTGTTGTGTCAAATTTTAGAAATATAAATGTAAAGGTATATACACAGTTCAATTCAATTCAATGTATTCTAGTAAAGCCCTAAATCACAACAGTAGTTTTCTCAGATCAATTAACAAAACAGTTGAATTCACCAACACAGATCAGAGAATCAAACAGTTCAAACACATGGGTATTGGTCCACAGGGAGCCGATGACCAATGTCCATGAATGTTGATAAATGTCCGTAAATGTTGTAGAACACAAGAGGAGTAATTTGTTTTCTGGTATAAAACAAACAAACATCGGAATTGGAAAAAACATTGGAATGTATGGTTAAAACTTTAATTAATTCACATACAGTATCAGCGCGATATGAATTTGATATGTCAATTGAAAATTAATGAAGCATGCCCTGCCCTATTTGATGTTGCGTTGGTTATACAATTCTTTCTTGTTTAACAGACACCACCCAGCATCAAAAACACCCCATCAGGTTAAACTAGTCCCTCTGTAATGTTCCATGGAGGAGAAAAGCAAATATGGTCTCGTCAATGTCTGGTTTTTTTTTGTTCAAAAATAATCAAATTAATCCTAAGTGTGGGAGAAGATAAATAATGTAATATTATTGTTTATTTTTATGATTGTATAATTATTACTGTACTTTTAATACAGGCGGGGCAAGGGAGAATAATTATGGGCTTTACATTTTACGTATGGGTAGAACCAATGACAAGTTTTTAATATAACATCAAATATGATCGAAATGGGAAAGAATTCGGCTTACTTCTGCTTTTTTATTTACTCTTCACCATACCTAATGTAATGTTTTGTGTTTCAGGGGCAGATTCTATGTCCAGTACAACTCCTTTAATTGTTTGCTTCTTTGTCATGATAATTACAATTCATGAAGTTATGCTGTACACATAATCACTCAAATATGCACGTTGTAAATGTAATTTCTTTGTGTATTTTAGGTTGCGGTTGGCTCACCTCTGACACTGCCCACACAGGGCTAATCCTGTGATACTAAGAACCAGGAAGACCACAGCAGAGATGATGCCAACCTCGGGGCTCATCACTTCTCCCAAAATCATTGCGATCGGAGCCATAATGGGTCCAAAGAAAAACTGCAACCACAGCAAAATTATTACCATTATACATCACTGGCATCACTGGCAATAGGCTTAGAATTACGTGAAAAATATATTACTCATGTATAGAATGCAAGTATAGAACCAGTAGATAAACATAAATATATTTCCAATCTTTTCATTGATAAGTATTTGCTTTGAGCAGAACAGACATCTTTGAAAGGTATTGTTACTCTATACAAACAATACATTGATATAAAGAGTGGTCTGATACAGTTAAAAAATCACACAAACGGAAAAAAGTAAACATGTGTAGGTAATTATATAGTTTTACCTTTTTGCGCTCAAGTGTCGTAGAGTCACTCCTGGAGCTTTGTGCTAAAGTGAGTGAGACAAGCCTTTATACCGAGACTTCAGGGAGGGACCTTAGTCAATGGCAGAGGAAGTGTATTTGTCATCACAGTTTGCTTTAGTATCACCTCGCTGATATGGGCTGCTCCCGCACTGGTCACACAAAGGCTGGTGTCCCGGTTTGTCATCAACTATTACAACCACGATCAGAATGGTACTATATGGCAGACGTGGGGTTAGACACCTGTTAGACTTGTTACATACTTACACACTTCTAAAACATTCAGAGTTGTAATTTGTGTTAACCCACATGGTAAATTGTATTATAATTGAGGTATCTACATTCAGTTTCTATGGTTTTGGAGGTGGGGCCTGGGTGTATCTGTGAGAGAAAGAAAGAGGGATGTGGCAAGTGTTTTTGATTGTTGATAATGGGAAACATGAATGAAAAATGAAACTGTTGAATCAATTCATGCATGAAAGTAAGTATTTTATCATGAACATTGTGTTTTTATTTCGATGGTTGTAACTCCTCAATCTTACCACAAATAGGCCAAATGTCATGAAGTTTCATTATGGAATCTTTAAACTGTCCAGTATGTGCATACGAGGGATTTTTGCACATGTGGTTTTACTGCAAATGGCCAATAAAATGAATCTGAATCTGAATCTGAATCTGAATCTGAATCTGAATCTGAATCTGAATCTACTATCCATGCACACATCCTCATTGGGGGGGCACCTGTGGGACACATACTCATGCCCAGAACATTTGGAGGCATTCAGCTTCCAAAACAGACACAGGTTCCACTACATCTGAGCCATGGGATTGCCTCTATCCCTTCACTTATTTTTTGTTTCCTTGTTCCTGAACCATAGACTGTAAATATTACAAATATTACGTTTCTTTTTTATAATGTCTTCTTCAGTTTTTCTAGAGCAGTGTTTCTTACCTGGCACTGTTCTTTTCTTGAAGATAACTTGAGTCTTATCCTAGACCTGATACACATTAAGCCCCAAAATATGTTGTTTTGGTTCCTTAGATGATATTTTAGATAGATAGATATGTATTTGTCACGTAGAATGTTAACAACACGGTCAAAAACATGTAGGGAAATGACTAGAAACCTGTCTTTTTATGTGAAAAAGACATTAAACACATCTTTTTCCCATCCAAGCCAGATTGTTGTATTGTTTGGATCCCAATTCACTGTCATCAAATAGACCTGCCTGGGGTCCGGTTTGAAAATACCAACAATATTCACATAATGCATTTGATAAAAAAATGTGCACATATACATGCAGTTCCTCAGCTGATTGTACACACATATATGCACTTTTACATACAGTATAATAACCCTAAATATACACAGACATACTGTACACACCCAGACTCAAGCCTCCATCAGGAAATGCCTTTTTTGTTTTCGTATCTTTGCAGTCCGTGAAGAGGCAACCCTGCATTTATTAGCGACACGGTATGAAAGTGGATAAAAGGCAATTCCAAGTAAGTATAGTGCTATCTCCATGGAGACAAGCAGGTAATGAGCCATGTTACCAGAATCGTTACACAGTGTACTCCAGTCATATGCTTTCCATTCACTTCATTTTCTATCCGGTCCATGCTTGTATCCTCCTCCTCCTACATCAGTCTGCTCTCTCCATGATAGTATTTTCGGTTTTGTGTCCTTCTGAAATGTGATTGGCTAGAGTCTCCAAATCTGCCTCTCTCCAGGGCGCTCCGGAGGCAGAGGAGACCATTGTCCTGAGTCTGGGCGACAGAAGTGGGATTGGATTACAGCGCGTTCAAATGCAGCTGTGCATATTTCTATGAAGACTTTTCATCTGCAAATGTCAGTCCACAATAAGAAGGAAATAAAGCCAGATTGCAGCTTCAGAAACTGTCCCAAGAGGCTTCAGAGCTACAGTACAGTTCCAAGTCTCCAGTTGGTTTTGTTTAGAATAAAAGGATTGAGACAAATATACTTGTTGTATCTGTAAAATTGCGTTGGTTGTGAACATTCTTTCCAATTTTTATATTTTTAATTTGTTTAAAATGTATTGTTATGAAGGGCAACAAAAATAAATGAAAAAGTATACCTTACATTCATATTTAACACAACAAATAAGAACGCATAATAACACAGAACAAATGAATAATAGAAAATGACCCCAAAACATACATAGAAAACAAGACAACATGAAGAAAACAAATAAATATGGATACATACTGTAGATGCATACCTCTCACAAAAGCATCACTGTTACCACTTCGTTACAATAACTAGATGATTTTCCCTTCAACATATGTTATTCGGATCTTAGTGCACTGCAAAAAATGACCAAATATGAGGTAATAATTGCTTGAATCAAGTGGTTCTTTATCTTTAATAGTTTGAGTACATTCTGACTGTCTTGCCTCTGTTGAATTGCCACTTTTCATTGTACATAATATATCCTGCTTTTAACATGTTTGCCCATTTCTTTCTTTTGCACAATCTGAGTGTTTCTATCCATGCCAGATGTGACCTGTAAATTTCTCCTGCGCGTGATCAATAGTCTACTCTATCTTATCTTATCTTAAAACAAAATTTGCCAATGAGACAAGGCCATTAAGCCATTAACTGTGACTTTCTTTTCTCATCACAAGGAAGATAATTTTTCTTGTCCCATTGGCAAATCTTATTTTAAGGCCGTCAAAATGTGTTCAAATTAACATATATTTTGCCAAATTTGAGGAATTTTTGACTTATTTTTGTATCACTTTTTGCAGTGTAGAAAGAAGAATAGGCAGCAAGGACAACAAAATGCATTAAATGTCGTTTTTTGTGATTAATAGACCACATATCTGAGACCTACATAGACATAATAGTTTACAGGAGTTGTACCATTAGCAGACATCTAATAATAATGAAAAGTAATGGTAAAATGAATAGATAATTTTGTTGTCGTTTTTTTCTATTTTTTTTCATTAAAGACAACAAAACAGACAACAACAAGAACACAAAAGTACAACCCCCAAAACAGAACAGACAAACTAAGACAAGACAAAAAATAAGTATTGTTGTTTTTACTTTCATTGTTTCTCAGATTCACTTTTGCCAGTTGCAGCCTAAAAAAAGACATTGGAATCTTTTTTGCAAGAATGCCCATGCAGTGCGTTGAAAGAGCTGGGACTTGTCTGAGTTGAAAGTCCGAAGTGGCAGCAGAATAATGTGACTGTACGAGTGTGAAAGGGCCTTTGTGAGAGCAACACACACACCCATCAGGACAAACCTGCACTGACCCCGCGGCCGGGCGTCAGATGACATCACTGCAGTCTGTCAATCTGTCCTGTGACCGCAAGTGTTATGCATAAGCTAATGTTGTGTTACGTTAAAAAGTAAATCATCGCACATTGTTTATACTTCTCTGTAGAAGGCAGTTTTCTCTTCATTTATCCCCTCTGGCCGTTTATACTTACTTACTTGTCCTTGAGTGCTTTAAACTCAAGTGTAAATACTTCTTCGATTGTAAATAAACATGTTTTACACATTTTTTGTGGTCATACTTTTTTGTGTTTTTATTTTTTTATTGTGAAGATATAGACTTACAATACAAGTGCAGACGTACAAACAAATACAGATACAATGAGACAGACAAGATACAGCATGTGTGTGTGTGTGTGTGTGTGTGTGTGTGCAGTGGTGTGTGTGTGTGTGTGTGTGTGTGTGTATGAGTGCGAGTGTTATTTTAGCAATTTGCTGCGTTTTTTGGTCACACTTGTTTGTCGTCAGATTTCAGAAGCTAAGCGAGTGGGGTCTGGTGAGTACTTGGATGGGAGACTGCTGTAATACCTTGTAAGGCAAATGCAACCCAGCCGCGGACCAAAAGTGCAAGTAGATGTTGTGTCCTTTGGCAAGACATTTAACCTTGTCACTCTCTCTTCAGTCTGCCCCAGAGCAGCTGTGGCCATCACCCTGTGCATGGAGTGAAGGAATAATGCACTGTAAAAACAAAGATTACTTACTTAATTTCTTACTTAATGTAGAAGTTCCATAAAGATCTTAAAATTACACTTTTTTTCCTCCTCTACATGCACATACTGTGTCCCAAGGTTACGGTTCCCACGCACAGGGCCCCTGCTCAGACTGTCCACAGGGGATAAATCGACACACTTGGGTCGAGTTACAAATGATGTGGAAACAGGTAAATACAGTAATGCGTTATACTAATTGCAGAGGTGTGCATAGACAAGAGGCAGACATTTTTTCATACCTTTAGCTCCCGTTTAAGAAGATTTAGGTATTGAACATTTTTTGAGTTCCTTGTCAATGCAGGAAAGTCAGAGGACAGTGATGAACCGCAACATTTAAAGACATTTATGAACATTTATGAACATGTATTAACATTTACAGACAGATTTACAAACTGTTTGATTCTCTGATTAGTTGTTGCAAAATTGACTTTCAAATCAACTTTGTAAAGTCCTCCAAGACAACTGCAGTGGTGATTTAGGGCTTTAAAAAACGCACTGAATTTAAATACATTTGAACCATGTACTATATATTCTGTGAATATCTGGCTTTTCATGTTTTCCTTCCTTTGCCACATGCAGTATAATGTGCCTATAGTAGTGTACAGCGCAGAGTCCCACAGGAGCAGAGATAAGAGCGGCTCCTGATGTAAGGCCATAACCACAGAGGACATATCTCCAAGAAAAGATTCACAGATGCTCACATGGGACCAAGGCAGTAGGTGAACGATATTTAATGTCATATTCTTTAGCAGTAAATCTGGGTCATGATGTTCAAAAGTGCTCTGGATAATCTCTTGTTATTTGCACAATCACCTTAAAGCCACACTGTGTGACATTAGTGGAAGATTGCAGGCAACTTTAAGTTACTCGAAAGCTGTAACATTACAAGTTACTGGGATGTATATGTATATGTACATGTATTACCATTTTTTACTGAGTTACATTGAGACCAAAACACTAATTATAAGATAAGATAAGAATTCCTTTATTCGTCCCACAGTGGGGAAATTTCGATGATATTGCAGATGTGTTGGGTTAAGTTTAGTTTCAAATACTTTTGTTGTGTCAGGATGTAAAAAGCTCCTTTTTGTACTATAATATTTCTTCATCTTTGTAAACAGTGAGAAAACAATGTAAATGTGCACTTAAATGAAGAATGCCTTCAGCACCTGCACTTATAATAATATAATGTCTTAGTAATAATAGTTTGGAGACAAGTGGGTGAAACAATGCAGATATACACTATGTATTTGTTGTAGTTTGGACCAAATAGTCTGAGTACTGGTTTGATCACTCAAATGGGCATATTTCAAGCAATTTTACAAAGCTTCTGAAGTTGAAAGAAAAAAATAAATTCTTGAAGAATGTAGGATGTAGGAAGTTCATCAAAATAAATCGTTTATTGGCTCAGTTGTCGGAGAATTGATGGATGTGTTCCTTCTGCTCACGCTGGAGTTGGATTCTATTGTCTATTCTTCTAGAGGACTATTATTAAAAACATGCCAAAGTCTAGTGACTAAACATTTGTTAGTTCAATCAACACTTTGCAATATCACAGGACCTGCAAACAACATCACACCACAAGCTTTTGACACATTCTTTTATTACGCAACTCTTCATTAATCCAGTTAAAGAAGCAAATCGTAACTGTTTAATTTAACATTCCAAAATATATTAAATGTAATAAATTTGACATATAGACATCTGTTCAGTCTTTATTCAGTTTTTTGTGCATGCATATCATTGAGACAAACGCAACAAGAAGGCAGGAAGTCCCCAGGACTGGAAACGACACACACGCCCACCAGATTTTTCTCTCTCCAAAGATGCTGACGATATTCCCGTTATTTCTTGCATACTCCTGGAAGAGCGCCTCCAACTGGGAGAGCGTGGTAAGTGAGAGCAGGATGTGGAAAATCTGGTGCCCGTGGCCGAAAATATCGCACTTTCCCGGGAAGAAGCACTCTGGAATCGGACAAGAGAAGAAGACGGAGGAGCAGAGGAACAACACAATTTGAAGGGCGTGGAAGTTCAGCGAAGGCTCCTCTTTCCAGGACACCGTCAGCAGGCGATGCACCACCGGACTGATCCCCAAAAAGTATGCAGTGACCGTCGGAATCAGCTGGCAGATTTTGCGCTGCGGTGGATAGGGTTTGCTGTATTTGGACTTCGCCACGCAGCACCCGACGCTCGTCATCAACCCGAGAAACGCTGTGCCGTGCAGGTAGTACTCTCCCACGGTGCTTGCTCTCCACGCTGGCGCAGAAGTGTAGAAGTAGTGTCCTAGCGCACAGCCGTATTGGTAAATGGCCACTCCCACGTAGTCCATGAAGAAGACGTAGAAATGCGCCTGCTCCGAGTGCGATTGGAAGAGGTGCGCCATTGAGCTACAGAGGTAACAAGTCAGGGCGGACGCGATAAACAGGAAAAGAGGGAGCGCCGACAAGTCAAAGGGGTGCCCCAGGGCTCCGAACATGGTCCAACACCGAAGCAGCAAGATCGGCGCCGCCAAGAGATGACTCCAAACATTGAGGCTTTCGTTGTGCTTCTGGAAGAGGCTGAGGAGGTAGCAGTACCAGTTTTGGTGGAGGGGGCGGTACCCGGTGAGGATATAGGGCTCGCGGAAAAGGGCGGGGACCTGCGAGGCAGTCACGGTGGGGCATGGGGTAGGTAGGGAGGCGGGCAGCCCCTGGAGCAGGTTTGGGATGCGGCCCAGCTGTTTGATGCTGGGAGTCAGGGTGGTGAGGCGCTGAAGCACGAGGCCGGACATAGTGCAGGGGAGCGGACACCAGGCGCCCTGCAATCAAACATAGAGGAGAATGTCAGAGATTATGAAACACAAATATCATCGCATTAGTCGTTATGTCATTGAGATTTTCTCTGTAATGGTAGGTATAGCAAGTGTGTGTGTGTGTGTGTGTGTGTGTGCGAGCCAGAAGGGGGAAAAAGTGTGGGTGTGTTTATGTTTTCCAAAATCGGAAGAACCCAACTTTCAAACCACAACAATAATACAATTTATCTAAATCTTAATTTCACATTTTTGCATATGTCACATCTTTAGATCAGCTTTTTATTTATTTTCCAAAAAATGCTAAGCCAATCAGCTCTCAGCCCAAAAAGTCAAATAGTGACTCACAGGGCTCTTTCATTAAGGATGCAAAAAATAACAACTCTAGACTCTTTCTGTTGGGTCTAAGAAATTTTAATGAAAAGTGAGGTACACCGAATGAATAAAATAATGGTCTATCCCTGAACCTCAAAACACCACCTTTTTGAAGAAAGATTTAACTCAATGTTGACGGACTGACAATTTTTATGATAAATACCTACAAAAATATATACAAAAAATTAAATACACCCACCATACGACTAATCATTATCATGTTTCTCCATGAATCAGAATTACATAATGCTGCGTCACAAAGGCACAAAGAATGTAAAGGTCCCCATTGAGGGACGAATAACAAACTGCTCATATCTCAACTTGAAGTTAAACATTATTCATTTTGATACTAAAAGAGAACAGTTTATAGTTAATGAGACATAAGCGTTGCACCCAAAACAATTTTCTTTGCTACCTGAGCTGTGAGTGAAAGTGCACTGGAACAAATGACCTTAAGTAAATAAACAAGTAGGAAATGTCCTGATTTTAGCAGTGTACATCTTGAATTTGGCGTATCAAAATAATAATAAGTTGCCCACAGATAGAACCAGTAAGTACAACAGACAAACACACATTCACTAATTTGTACATTTCTTTGTGGTGTAACATGTCACTATAGTAGTATTATGTTAACGTGGGTTTAAATTCATTTGACTCTTAGTGATCAATGTCTTAGTGTTTTTGTTCAAGTTTTTTATTCAGATGCATTGTGTAGAAAAATATAATTAATTTAGTGCACAGTCATATGCTGCACTCATTCCATTTAATCAGATATCTGTTTCTGTGCAACAAGACTTGTGAAGACTGTGTCATATCTTGAAGTCCTTTTTACAGCTATTTGAGCACAAATTGTCTTAAGTCCTAAGCAAACAAGGCCTTCCAGTCTTCCACAGTAAAAATCCTTACAAGACTGGACATACAACATGCCTATTCTGCGCCAACTATTTATTAGGCATAAAGACAGCATTTGGGTCCCCACCTGACCGGTATGTGCAAGTATATGCTGCAACAAAACAAGTTAATAGCATAAACTCATTCCTTTGCTGCACGAAACAGGCATTCCACCCCAGAGAGGTCATCCACGCTCGACGCACATGAGGAAAGAATGTCATCCGACTTGTCCCAAACAAAACGCCTCTCTCCTTGGACACGGGTGTGTTGACAGCCAGTGGTTGGGAAATCATAAATGTTTTTAAAAGTTAATAATGCAACATCTGTCCTCCTAGGTAATGTATTATTGACAAACGCAATAAAATAATTCTTGATATTATTTTTTGCCGCCCAAAATCACACAGCAGTTGCCTTGAACGGCTTTACAAGATTGTAGATTTTCCTATTATTGAAAAAAAACAAAAAAACAATTAAAACAATCTGAGCTCTATAAAGACAACATTAACAATTTTTCTGGAATGCTCTGGAGCATTGAAGTGGGCGTGCATCTTTCGCATCTCCTCAATTGATTTTGATAAAAACTTGCATCATGTACGTGAGGCCATGTCTCGACGTCTTACCTGGCATGTGGGGTAACCTGCTTGTTTCCATACTAATACAACAATATTAACAATGGTGTAATCATACAGGTAACTATATAATCATAAGTACAAAAAAACAATTGTATAAAGATTAGAGCTGCAACTAACGATTATTTTGTAATCGATTAATCTATCAATTATTTTTACGATTAATCGAGTAATCCTTTGGCTGTGAATTGTGTAGAAAAAAAATATTTTTTCATCACAAAAAGCTAAAGTGGCAACACTCGAGGACGTATTGATAACGTAAACTTAAAGTAAATGTTTGTAACAGGCTCTTTGTGCTAATTCTGCTATCTGATTGGATGAGACAAACAGATATTCATGAAATTATAAAAACAAAGTCGGTTTTAATCAAAAATACTACATTTTTAACATTACTTTGGAAAGCTACTCAAATACTTGCCGAATGACAATGTATTAAATTAATAAATATAGGTTTCACAGCTGTTCAGCCATAGAGATAATTGTCATGTACTTTGTCCATGTTACTCTAAAAAACAAGGTGCGAGAAAATGACTGAGGATGATATTCCACTTTGTCCGAAAAGCTGATCCACTGGGTGTATGTGTAACTCAGTAATTAGTTTCTGTGTTGACAACCAAAGGAAGCACATGGAGCTATGGGCCACCCCAAGGGACCAATACCCAAAAGGGTGTGCCCCTAAAGACGTGACACCACCTAACATCCTCCAGAGCCGGTTTTGTTTTCAATGCTTGGTCTAAAACCCAAAAGCCAGGCCCTTATTGCACAATGGACTCTTAAGTAACAGTGTTAACAGTACAAACAGACTCCTCAGCACAAGTTGAAATATTACCCTTGAAAACTAAAATCATGACAATGTTTGATGTTGGATACAAAGGAAAGATGGAAGATAGAAGAAACTAAACAAAAACACACTGGAACTAGGTGCTTAAGATACAACTTATTGTGCCTGTCATTCCGTCACATTGTTGAAATTACCATCAACATGAGGACTGACGCAGCAAGGGGAATGGTCTATAATTATTCCTGAATATTACAGATTTATATATTGTCTTGTATTTCACGTCTATGTGAATAAACAAGTCTAACAGCTACACCACATTAACGTCGACCTAATGAGAAACAGATGATACAATGCATGTTATAGTTCACTTAAAAATTACAGCTGTCATCCAAAGAATATCACCCATATACATTCAATAATAGATTGCTGTTTCTATGGTTGTCTGTGTAGAAATGTTAGTTTGTATACATCCCCGCTGATTTCTAACTAATACACGTGCACAGTTGTATTTGAGCCAATGCCAAAAGCCTATAGTGACTTTCTCCTCTCCCCATCTCACCTGTTTGTGTGCTCTGGCCCCTGGGGATCGGGGTGGTTCGCAGAAAACGGCACGTCCAGCAGCAGTCGGAGGATCGCTGTGCACTCACGTCACTTGGGCTACTTTATATTTGTTTGAAGAAGAGGGGGAGCGGTGAAAGAACTCATCCTTTGCACCGGGGCTACCTGCAGAACTGGAAGTGTGTGGGCGGGCTCCAGGTGCGTGGATACACCCCCTAATGCCAATCTGCAGCCTCAGAGTTTTGATCGCTGCTCCCGAGGCTTGCTTCTGCAGTTTCAGTATCTCTGCTTCCTTTCAAATGTAAACAACGGCTACAGAAATGTCGTTGGTTGTAATAATTAAATAAATTAAAAGAAAGAAAATTTGTAACGAGCATAGTAAACAGAAATGAGTCACTACAGTAAAACTACAGTCTGTGCGTAAAATACATGTTCACGCATCACTCTGTCTCCCTCTGCTGTCCGTATTAGTTACTGCAACAACAAGGACATGGCACTCATGGCACTCCTCTCCTAGTAACAATTTATTTTATATTAGTGATATTAGTGACATATTTGGAAATAAAAATCCATTGTGAATTATTTACAATGTAAGCCTCCTGTAGTGTAGATAGAAACCTAAAACCTAAAACAGCCTAGAAGAATTGCGTTTGTCTCCATCTTGTGGCCATTGGTATGTACGACAAAATGAAACAACTCGACTCAAAAAGAAAAGTTTAATTTGCCATTTAAAATCGGGTGACCGTGATCCTTTTGCTCCGTCATACATAAGGACAAAGTAATGCGAGATAGATTTGGCATATGTAATGTACAATGTAGGAATAACATATAAGAGATATTTCTTTGATCAAAAAAGGTTGGAGACAATGTGCATTTGATTGAGCCTGAAACTGACTGTAAAAATTAACTGAAGTCAACAAACAACTACAACAATAAAACATCAGTTTTAGTAATGAAATGGTCTATCAAGTAAACAGAGTCGGAAAATGTGAAGAAGATGACAAAGTCTGGGATCGCGTCTTAAATTCAGACAGAAGACATGTTTTATTGTCGATGGTAGAGACAGCACGAACAAAGCACACGATCACAGAAACAATAGAATGCAAGTGTATTATACAGAGCGGAGGCATGGAGACCTCCAATCAGCAGCTGCCACGGTGTGCATGTAGCTTGGCCTTCAGATAGACAAAACAAGGGAAAAGTACAGGCTTCTGCACATTGATAGAATGATGAGTTTTAACTTTAACAAAAGTTGCTTCAAAGTGTTATGAAATCTCACATTCCCCCCTCTGGTCATACATTCACGTGTGACCATCAGGATCGATAAACAGCAACATAACATCATAACTCAATACTTCAACTCGGTACTTCACTCGGTACTTCAAAAAACTCAGAACTTGGAATACTTCAAAAAACTCATAAAACATGTTCAGATCTTTCATAAAACTTGTCAACAATCTTCAGTAAAATACCAAACTTCATCAGTCGATGGTGGTTCCAGATATTGCTTTGAAAACAGTCTCTCCCACTTCTCCGTTGATTTCTTCAGGCTGCATTTGTCGTGTCAAGCCATGAATTCTTCTGTGACGTGTCTTTCAATCACACGTTTCAGCTTTAGTGTCCAGATTCAGCAATCCAATTCAGTCCAAATTATGTCCAAATTCAGAAATCCAGATTGTTCCAAATTATGTCCAAATTGTGTAATCCAATTGTTCCATGCAAAAGAGGACGATGGTGTTGTCCATGTCTCAGCAGCTCACAGCCTGAGTGGAATCAGGGGCTGTGCAGATTGTCCAAGTGCTGATCTAGATGCATTCTCTTGAGGTTTCTCAGTTTTGGCTTAAAAAAAAAAACACTTTTTGTGTAAAAAAAAGGTCTTCTGTTCTGTAGATGTTACAGACAATGCCCGCATTCTCCACCACCTGAAGAAGATGACAAAGTCTGGGATCGCGTCTTAAATTCAGACAGAAGACATGTTTTATTGTCGATGGTAGAGACAGCACGAACAAAGCACACGATCACAGAAACAATAGAATGCAAGTGTATTATACAGAGCGGAGGCATGGAGACCTCCAATCAGCAGCTGCCACGGTGCCATGTAGCTTGGCCTTCAGATAGACAAAACAAGGGAAAAGTACTGGCTTCTGCACATTGATAGAATGATGAGTTTTAACTTTAACAAAAGTTGCTTCAAAGTGTTATGAAATCTCACAAATGACCAAAAACACCACTTTCAACGTGAAAAAATTTGATTATGGACTCTTTATGGATTAGAACAGTGTCTCCCAAAGTGGGGTCCGCGGCCCCCTGGTGGGCCGCGAGGGTACTGCAGGGGGGCCGCGGGAGGTCATTAAAAAAATAATAATAATAATGTAATTATTTTATGTTAAATTTATAATGTTTTGTTTGTAATATTAAAATATTTGTGTTCATTATTTGACTTTAATAATCCACTGTAATCATTTTTGTATTACAATGTTTGTAGCAGAGGCTATTTCCCCAAAATAAAATAACCAGAAGAGCCTATTCTTAATGTTGTCTTCTTGGTTATTATTTTGGGGGGCCACGCAGACCCGTTATATTTTTAAGGGGGCCTCGGTGTTACTGAGTTTGGGAATGGCTGGATTAGAATGTGGATTTACGGAATAAAATATAGAAACAAATGTTGTTCTAAGCGTGGATGTAATATCATTGGACCTGGCAACTAAATTTTGTATTCATTATTATTATCATCATTATTGTCATTTTATCGACAAATTGCACAATACGTATCTTCTTTGTATGACCATAGTGCAAACATACACTCATCATGAAAGGAGTAAGATACATGTTAAAACAAAAACTAAACACAACAAAACCAGTTGTGGCAACTCTTACTGCATTTTCGCGGGAGTCGCTGCTCATCCCTGCCTCCCATTCGCTAACATCCCAACCATGCACACGTACGTCACAATATCACATGCTCCTTTCCAACCAATCAGGAGAGAGTTTTTAGCGCGAGCCTGTCCTTTGTGGCGGGAAACGTCTACTGTCTGTTCAGCCGGAGCGGTGCGCAGAGCAGTTTGCACTATTTTGACATTTCTTCAAGGTTTTGGATTTAAAAACTCCACCCGAAAACCATGGCCACCGACATGTTGGATGACCGGGAGATGAAAGAGGCTCAGCGCGATTATTTGGACTTCTTAGACGACGATGTAAGACTTTAAATTGCTTTCAGAACTACATGAAGCCATGCGGTCCACATCAGCAAGAACTATTATGCATCATGGATTTGCTTTCATCATTATTTGCATGCATACGTGGTGTAAACCGTTGAGTTACATTAGTTTTTGTCCTATCTGTTTTAGTTTGAGTTAGTTATCTGTGGATTATAGTTGGTCATGCGTTTTATTGTCCCCCTTTGTAATCTGCAGCAAGACCAGGGCGTCTATCAAAGCAAAGTGCGGGACATGATCAGCGAGAACAAATCCAGACTGATTGTCAACGTGAACGATCTGAGAAGACGTAACGAGGCCAGAGCCGCAAAGTAAGTAACTTTTAATGTGGAAACATCCCGACTGTGTGGCTTGATGACAAACCAGCTTTCAAGATGGCTGGCTGCAATTGTCCTATAATTGTCTATGGTAATAACCACGTTATTATAGTAAATGACTCGTGACCATTTTTGTTTTTGCACTTTGTTTATAATCTTAAACAATTTGTAGATTTGAGAGTTCACAGATACATGGAGTAGAAAATAGCGTCTGTGGTACTTGGCGTACTTAAGATGAACTTTATTGATCTCATAATGGAGAAATTTACATGTCACATTTGTCATAAATAGAATCACTCAGATTCTGAAAAAGAGAGGAAGTGTGCAAACATTTTTTTAAAGTTAGAATAGTCTATTGTGCAAGATAGTGTAGGTCATTAGTGACTTATTGTACAGTCTAATAGCGGTGGGGATGAAGGCCCTGCGGTAGATCTTCTTGCACTGAGGGTGCCTCAGTCTTCAACTGAGAGAGCTCCTCAGCTCCTCTACAGTCCTGTGCAGTGGGAGGTGTTGTCCATGATGGAGGTGACCTTGCGCAGCACCCTCCTTACCCTCACCTCCTCCAGTCCAGGGAGCAGCCCAGAGCAGAGCTGGCCCTCCTGACCAGCTTGTGCAGTCTATTCCTGTCCTGCTCTGTGCGGCCTGGAGTACAGCACACGGTAGCGTAGTGTATAGCAGGGGCTACCACAGTCAAAAAGAGTCAAACCTGGGGATCAAACCGGTTGAAATATTGGTTAAATTGGTCTACCCGACGCTGGTCTCCATCCGGTTAGGGTTAAGCTACTGGCACTCTGTCCAAATCCGGAGAGGTTCTTAAGACCTCTCCACACGTCACAGGCGTTTCCCTGCTCCAGCTTCATGTCCAGCCTCTGCTCCACCTTTTCTCAATCGTCCTTCTTGGCCATTTTCAGACGTAGTGGTAATAGGAAAGGATTTTAATAATTTAAAGTTAAAGTTGAGAACTACAGAGATCAACTATTGAAATCACTGCAGCAAATAAATTGGTTTCCCTTTATTAATTCTCTGGAAAAAGCAAGATTCTCAAATGATCTTTTATTTAACTTTAATCTACAAAAAGATTAACCTTCCAAAACTGTATTTGTATGCAAAAGTCTACTTTTACATTGGGCAAATAAACAAATCTATACAAAGTGTGTAGCAGCAAACCATGATTTACACAACTTGAGTGCAAATGTAGGATCTAAAATAGTTGTTGTGAATGTTATATATTAAAATCTTATTTCTCTGCTCGTCAGGTTGATGAGCAATGCTTTTTCGGAGCTGCTGGCCTTCCAGAGCGCCCTGAAGGACCTGGTGGCTTCGGTTGATGCCACTTACGCCAAACAGCACGAGGAGTTCTTCGTGGGGCTGGAGGGAAGCTTCGGCACCAAACACGTGAGCCCGCGCACGCTTACGGCCCGCCTCCTGGGAAGCATGGTGTGTGTGGAGGGCATCGTGACCAAGTGTGAGTGAACACTTACTGTTGTTCAGTGTGTCTGCTAGGTTTTTCATTGGAAATGTTTAAGTTCAGGCCTATGGTTTTAAAACAGGCGTGTGTTATTAATTATCAAGTCTTAGAGTAAATTGCTTCATTATTAATTTATTTCATTATGTTTATGTATTGGGCACATGTTGCAGATGACATATTTATTTGGTATTAAGAAACATCCATCCATTTTCTTCCCCTTAATCCATTTCTGGGTCGGGATTAAGAAACCTGTTCTTTTTTATTTTGTGGTCTACATTTTAAAATCTGACTCGTCCACTTCTGCAGATAGAAGTAGAATAGCTTAGATTAAGTCTGTTGGACCAAACTCAAACAGTTTTGGTCTCGATTGAAAAGAATTTGGTTTTGTGTAAAGAAAATGCCACACATTCTTCATAAGCAGTCTTTATATAATTTATTTCAAGAAGAAAAATTCTATACTTTAAAGGAACAAAATAAGCCACATTAATTCAATTTTTTTGTATATTTGACGTGTGTTTTCAGGTTCACTGGTGCGTCCAAAAGTTGTGCGCAGTGTCCATTACTGTCCCGCCACCAAGAAAACTCTGGAGCGCAAATACACAGACCTGACCTCACTGGACGCCTTCCCATCCAGCGCAGTCTACCCCACAAAGGTACGGCCAAAGATGAGGTCGTACAACTCGTATTATTCGTCCGGTGATCAACAACCTACCAATTATATTTTGTTTTTGTCAATTTTGTTTTGATGTATGCCAAATCTCTAGCAACTGTTTATTGTTGCCACTTATAATTGGCTCAAAGTTTTGAATCATTTTATGCATGTACAGGGTGTATTATTCATTGTTTTGATAAAATGTGTGTAATATTGACAGGATGAGGAGAACAACCCCCTCGAGACAGAGTTTGGCCTCTCCATATACAAGGACCACCAGACTATCACGGTGCAGGAGATGCCAGAGAAGGCCCCTGCCGGACAGCTGCCCCGCTCCGTGGACATCATCCTGGACAACGACCTGGTGGATATGATCAAACCTGGGGACAGAGTGCAGGTGGTGGGCACATACCGCTGTCTGCCCGGCAAGAAGGGGGGCTTCACCTCCGGGACGTTCAGGTACAAATACAGAGCAGGAATAGGCATCGAATATCACAACTCACTATTGCGAGGAGTGGTACTTGTATCAATCAAGATTTCAGTATCTCAATGTAGAATATTTTTGTATTATGTAAATCCTAAAATGTGAAACGTAGGACGAATTTTTTTTTTTTTTCATTCTTCCTGTGGGATGCATTTTGTGTTTTTTTTTTTTTTTTTTTTTTTTTTTAATATAAATAATAGCTTTGCTCATCAAAGTTTGTCAAAAAATAATGCACAAAACTTAAATGACTCAACTACATCTAAGTGTTGGGTTTTGTACATGGTTTGGCCCTGTTATTTACACAGAATCTTCTTGGAGATGTCATAACATAACTAGAAAGTCATATGCTATAGCAATTTGGCTGGGGATGTATATTGATCAAATGTTTTAATTTTTTCCTAATGAGCACACACTTGTTTCCAGGACGATCATGATTGCGTGTCACGTCAAACAAATGAGCAAAGAGGTGGCTCCTTCCTTCTCAGCCGACGATGTGGCCAAAATTCGAAAGTTTAGCCAGACACGCTCCATTGTAAGTCCGGGCATGTGGATTGTTGTTCTTTCAAAACTCTCTCGGATATTTTTCATATTTTCAAGTTTGTGGTAGAAGCTTAATTGAATTTTGTTTTGTGCTAGGACCCGTTTGACCAGCTCGCCCGCTCTCTGGCTCCCAGTATTCACGGACACGAGTACATAAAGAAGGCCATCCTGTGCATGCTGTTGGGAGGCGTGGAGAAAGTCCTGGAAAACGGATCGCGACTCAGAGGAGACATCAATGTGCTGCTCATTGGTACAAAAAACACAAGACTAAAGCTATCTTTGTATTTGCAAAAACATTCTTGATGTAGGTTTCCTGCTCAAGATCAAGTAAATATTGTGTAGTAGTCATGGTTCTAGCATTAATGATTAATCTTTAGGGTTAGGTTTCATTAACAAGTATGGAATGTCTGGTTGAACATTGTATTGTGCAAATAATTAAAGATGACAATGTGACTTTAGCAGACATTAGTCACTCTAAATTGTAGTTAAAATTGCAATGTGACCTTGCTTTAAACTATCAGCAAAATGGATGCGTTCAAACACAATAAATGATTAAATGATTAAAACACATAGAGCCGCTGGTCCATAACGGGGAGATGACCAATGTCCATAGATGTTGTTGAATTTCTTGTCTAAAGATTTGTTTGTTGAAGGTAAAGAGTACCTAGTAAAGAAGTTTCCTGTTTCAGGGGATCCGTCGGTGGCAAAGTCCCAGTTGCTGCGTTACGTCCTGCACACTGCCCCCAGAGCCATCGCCACCACTGGGAGGGGCTCCTCTGGGGTGGGTCTGACCGCGGCTGTCACCACGGACCAGGAGACTGGTAAATCCAAATGGATCCATAGTCTAAAAACATAACTTATCTTTGCATAGGACTTCACCTGAGCAAAATTACAAAGCCAACCAGTCATTGCATTGGTCAAACAGATTTACCAAATTAACAAATGGATTACAGAAATTAAGCAGAGGAAAAAACATAGTACAATTTGATTTCAGCTTTTGGCTCTTGCTGTTGTCTTACTTTCTTCTGCAATCAAATTGTTCTGAAATGTCTTTTACAGTAGGCTTGACATTTTTACAATCAACAAACTTGAATTCAGCCTAAAGCTAAAGAGGTCTGCTATTTTGTTTGTGAATTTGGTTGTTTCTTTGCCAATTGTTGAAGCTGCTCTTGTACTAAAAATCATATCACTGAGAACAAACCCAGAACAAACCCAGATAAGGCTTTTGATTGCTGATGTAAACTTTGGGTTTAATTGTATCTTTTTGATTTTCAACCAGAAAATTGCAAATTATACAAATTGAGCCAGAATGGGTTGAAAATCCAAATCTTGACTTTTTTTTCTTGTGATAGTTCATGAAATCTAAATTCCAATGTTCTCACAGGCGAGAGACGTCTGGAGGCCGGAGCCATGGTCCTGGCTGACCGTGGAGTCGTGTGCATCGACGAGTTTGACAAGATGTCCGACATGGACCGAACGGCCATCCACGAGGTTATGGAGCAGGGCCGCGTCACCATCGCCAAGGCTGGGATCCATGCGCGCCTCAACGCTCGCTGCTCAGTGCTGGCCGCCGCCAATCCGGTCTATGGCAGGGTAAGAAACAAAAGCACAGGCATTTTAAATTGTTTGTAATTTTGATATGTGCATGCAGTGTTAGAGCATGGGTTTCAAAAATGGACTAATCAGACCTCAACATGGCTTACAAAGAACCTTATGAGTCACTTTGATCTCAAGTTTATGAAATGACTGCTATTGAATGGGGACAACTCTCTGGGATGGTCACAGCTGTTTCCTCTTGCATTCTCTTAGAACATTTTGTCTTCTTTTTTTGTTCTTTCTTTTTTTTTTTACAAAACGTTGCTGCCTTAGTCCGATAACTCATTTGTGGTTTTTGTGCAGTATGACCAGTACAAGACTCCCATGGAGAACATTGGGCTGCAGGACTCGCTCTTGTCTCGTTTCGACCTCCTCTTCATCATGTTAGACCAGATGGATGCAGAGCAAGACCGCGAGATCTCTGACCACGTCCTGAGAATGCACCGCTACAGGGACCCGCGCGAGCAGGAGGGCACAGGTACTAACGAGAAACTACTTTGAGCCTGCGAAATGTCCTCCACACGTTCTTCGGAGAGGCAGTTAGGGAGCACATTCACGGTAGCCAAGTGTGAACAGGAAGAGAAACGAAAACTTAACTCGGATCTTGAGTTTCTTATCTTTAGTATTAGCACCACCAGCTGAACTTGGCGTTTTACTACACCACATTTGGGCACGGTTGAAAAAAATGTAACCCTTCTGACCACAGGCCTTGTTCGTTTGTGAAAACCTGACAGTACCCTTAATATTTAGAAGAAAAGGACTTTTCAAGATCTGCAAAGACGGTATTTGTATTTTATGCCTCTTTTTTCCAAATGTGAAGACAAATGTGAGTTTTCGATCTACTTTAATACAAGAGGCTATTGCTATTCTACACAATATTTGTAATGGTTTATACTTTGAATCATATCAGTCATTGGAATCACTAGTTTTTAGAGGGTTTTAAGGGTCTTACAGAAAACTTTCCCCTTATATATTCTGGAGCTAATGAAGGGACCAAATCTACAAAAAATACACTGGAAACTATTACCCAACCTCAATTTTTTGCATTCTGTGTCTCTTTCCCGCTTAAATAACCGGATTCATGACTTGTTTGCAGCCATGTCTCTGGGTGGTTCGGTGGACGTGCTGGCCACAGACGACCCTGATGCAGCAACGCAGGAACAGGAGGACCTCCAAGTCTACGAGAAGCACAACAACCTGCTGCACGGAACCAGGAAAAAGAAGTGAGTCTCCTGTAACTGTACAACATGTGACGACTAACAGTTTAAACTAAAGTCAGGGTTTTTCAATCATTAAACATTACAATAACATTTCGAAACCAGAATGGGGGCATTCTGGTTTTTGCCTTTACTGAAATAAACAGGGAAGAGAAGTAAAATGTTAAATGGATGCAGTCCTGGTTAAAAGATATATTCTCCTGATTTCCACTTATTTTATGTTGTTGTGAAGTTTCATGTTTCCTGCTGTCTTATTTTCCAAATAGCCAAACAAAAATCTGCTATATTTATAATCTGTAACTCATTCATTTGTTGGTGGGACTAAGTTGTATTTGTTTCAGGGAGAAGATCGTGAGTAAAGAGTTCATGAGGAAATACATCTGCATTGCTAAAGCCGTGACTCCGGTGCTGACGGGGGAGGCGGCCAATCACATCGCAGAGGAATACTCCCGCCTGCGCTCCCAGGACCAGATGGGCACAGACATTGCCAGGGTGATGTCCTATTGTCCTATCCTTGACTAGAACTTTTCAATATACATTTTTAAATGGTCTTTCCCTCAATGTAAAAGTTTTTACTCTTTGTACGGTTAAAAAACAAGGATCTTTTTGTGGAGGCTGATGTCTAAAAAAAAAAAAAAATAAAATCTAGTTGCTTACATGATTTGCTCAGTTGTGTGATTGAGGACCTTGTTCTTCCATAGACTTCCCCAGTGACGGCCCGAACACTGGAAACTCTGATCCGATTGTCCACGGCTCACGCCAAAGCACGAATGAGCAAAGCCATCGAGCTGGAGGACTCTGAGGTGGCTGTGGAGCTTGTGCAGTTCGCATACTTTAAAAAAGTGAGTCTGGCTTATACTTGAAAAGACAGTTTTTTTAGGGTTAGCACATGTGGCCTCTTTGAAAGATAAAATTTTACTTTATTACGATGTGATTCATTTTCAGGTTTTGGAGAAGGAAAAGAAGCGTTCGAGAAAACAGCAGGACTCTGGTTCAGAGGACGAGGAGGAGGAAACTGGGTCCCAGAAGACTCAGACCAAGAGGTGACTGCTCCATGTGTTCGTGCAACTGGGTCATTATCCCTGGTGTATTTTATGAATGCATACTGTCAAATCTAAAACAAAATTAACTGCCAGAAAAAAGGTTTGGTGATCATAAAATATTTTAATTGTATGAAAATCAAAATATATCAAATGCAGGTTACAGTATTTGAACTGACTGTTTTGGCATTTCATTCCTAAAAGCTTTTGCTTCTAATTAAAAACAAAAATGAAGAAAATTGCTCTTTATTTGACACTTCCACTTTTCTCCTGCAGGGCGCGCCGTGGCTCTCAGAGCGGTGAGGCCTTCAGCCCGTATGACTTTACAGAAGACCATGATGTCCCTGAAAGTAAGGGCTTGTCTTCATCAATTTTTTTGTTGCATGAAAAAACCGCAGAAAAGTTATTCCATGGTTCTGCTTTGATGAAATATTGACAATGTTCTGTAATTTTCTAGTTCAGGCCCGCAGTCCTAAACCACCCAAACCCAAGGCGGTGGCGGAGGAGCCCATGGAGGCCACTGCAGAGGGAGAGGAGCTGTCAGCAGACAGGTTTGTCATTTTGTCAAGGGCACATAAATCTTAACTGTTGTGTTGATGTATTTAATGGTTATACAATATCCAGGCCAGTCAATAATGAGATGGAATAGGCTTGGGAATGTTAATCTTTTGCTGTGAGTATAAATAATTTTTCTTTTGTCTCCAGGCTCAAGGAGTTCAAGTCGTCGTTGTTCGCTGTGTTCCAGTCCGCACACGCCCAGTCCGTCAACATGTCACAGCTGAAGTCTGACATTAACAAAGAGCGAGAGAAGAGCTTCAGCGACGCAGAGGTCCGCACGGCGCTCACGCGCATGCAGGACAACAACCAGGTCATGGTGGCCGACGACATAGTCTTCCTCATCTAGAACTCTGACTACAATGGAGAACCACAAACTCTGCTGTCTGATAGGATGGAGCTACAGAAGGGTGTGAATAGGGACGCAGTCATTGGTTGAATAATTTTTGTCTTTAACTCCACTATGCCGACCGAAGACTCTGACTCTGATTCAGAGGCAGTCATCATATTAAATAGATTTAACCCTCAAAGGAAGTAAGTTTGTCTTACTTTACAGCGAAGCTAGTGCTTCTGTACAGAAAGTTAACGGAATTCAGCCGCTCATGACTTTGGAGCCAAAGTTACTATAGAACACTTTTCTCATTAACTAAACTCTGAAGAAATCCTAATTCCTAAAATTGTTTTCTTCCAAGATTAGAACAACACTAGATTTAAGAGAATAAGCCTTCAAACAATCTGAAAAGAATGCTTGTTTTGAAGTTGCTTTTTCAGATGATTCAAAGATGAGCTAAGATTAGTGTCTTATCTTTGACCTACTGAACTATGATGAGTGTTAATTATATTCAGTTGTTTTTTAACTGCATTTAATTGTGCAGGTGCCACCTATGAAACCAATTCAAAGTTACTATTTTTCTCCCCCCCCCCCCAAATCACACATAAAACATCCTCAAAAAGTAAAGCTCTTGAATTTTGACTGCGTCACAAATATCCTATTTGTCCTATGTGAACTAAACTTAGAACTGATAAATCTGGTTTAACCTATGGAGCTGTGTATCTTTTTAATATGAACTTGAGACACACAGGGTTTGGATCCTCAACTTTCAATAGTTCATTTTGATACACGCTGCTGTGCAGTTCTAAAGTACTTGGTTTTGTGTTGCTGATTCAGCTGTAAAAGTAACATTCTGGAGGCACTATTATATCTCGTATGGTCAGTCTACACCATGCACCGAAATATACCATTAGTCAGTAAATATATTATGATTGTCTGTCTGGATTTGTACATAAATGTGTTGTAAAATGTTGTTGAAAAAAATAAATGCTGTTTTGTATTCTAACTGTTGCTTCAGGCCTGGCTATTGTCTTTTCTTAACAGCTTGAATGATGCCAGATGTTTTAAACTATTTTGAAATTGAATACAAGTCAGCGGTTAGGAACAACTTTGAATAATATATTTAAGCTTTGTGGGTTGCATCGCTAAATATTTGTCACTATACATTTGTTTGATTCTCTGTAATCATGCATAACTTTTAAGAGAATTCCTGTGTGTGTGTCGTAGGCTTGTCATTTTGCATTCTTTCGCCCACATCGCTCACCACTCTGAAATCTGGGTCTCAACTTGAGCCCAGTGGAGGTGCAGAGACTTTCACATCACCCACTGCTGACTCAGCCCACATTTACTGGATCTGCCTGTTTCCCCTGTTTCAACCAGATTGTAGACGATAACATCTTTTTGAAGTGTGCGCCAATACTGTGTTGCCACAAATAACTCATAATGCATACTCAGCCCATTCCAAAGTGAAACAGTTTTAAGAAAATGTTCCCTAGATTTTCTTTTAAGCCCTAAAAGCTTGCGTACCAAACTTTATTTTTTTATTTCAGCAATTTTGGTCCCAAGTCTAGTAGTCCAAGTAATATTTTGTGAGCCAATTGAGCCGGTACATGCTGCCCTGGCAACAGATCAAGCGCAAGAAAATGTTCAAAAGTGAATTTTTCTTCGATTCAACTTGAACTGTGAAACATGAAACCAATATACAGTATGATATGGACTCATCAGAGGCAAAGTGACATATTCCAAGCCCTTGTTGTAATTTTGTATGGCATGCAGTCTATTTTACAGAAATTCAAATGTATTTTCAATTATTAACATTGTAAGTCGGTCATATATTGGTTTCACACTAAGTAAGTTGGCTTTTGAAAGTCACTCTCCAAGACTGTTAATATCTTACTATATTCAATAAATATTACTTAATTATTCCTGTAGGAGATTCTTGTGTCAGTTAAGTAATAAATTCACATACATTTAAATCCACCAGGCTGTAAAATTGGCAATCACAATTTGCCTCTGAACAACAGAGCTGCCAAACTTCTGAAGACAAATAGGAGTAATCTTGTCACATATGGCTCTAATAAAGTGCAAGAGAGTGATGTGGGTTTGGCATTAACACTGAGCGTGAGTCTTCAGCTGCAGCACATGGCCAAAATAAATCTTTATAAATCAAGGAAATATTCTTGCCTTCTGAGGATTCAAACATCTAAGGGCCCTGTTTGATATACGACATTCCATGCCTAAACTTCTGAATTCCTTTGTAAAATGGTTTAGATTATTCTGTTATGACTCGCCTATTTTCTCTCTAAAATGCCTAAAAACATCTGTGGAGCTGAGGCCCTGTAGTTTTGGCCTTTGGTATATTTTACTCCATAAGTAATTTATTCTTGTACAGCTCTAAATCACAGCAGTAGTTAGCTCAGAGGACTTAACACAACCTTTGAAATCACCAACACAGATCAGAGAAGAAATGCAATGATAAAAACAATTAGTTTATATTAATTATTTATATCCTTATAAACTTTTTACCAAATGTTTGGACAATAATCGATCTGTGTATTTTTTTATTCAAATTCAGTTATTTTGATCATACACATTTCCTGGTGGTTGGATGGTTATAATGGATTGTAAATGTCTTTTGTATTGGTCGTCATCGTACAGATGATCAGCCGCAGCCTCCCATCGCTGCAGGACCTGTACGTCGCCCGAGCTCGAGGCCGGACTGGTCATATCACTGCTGACCCCTCTCACCCTGTACATGGACTATTCCAACCACTCCACTCAGGCAGGAGACTGCGGTCCATCAGGACCAAAACCTCTCGCCATAAGAACAGTTTCTTCCCCTCTGCTGCTGGACTCTTGAACACTTCAGAATCTGTCCACCCACCCTCTAGAAGTCACCTTACTGCCCTTTATAATGTCACTTAACTGCCCATCATGACGTCACTTTTCTTTACTGCTGTCACCTTATATTGCGTGCACCATGTGCAGTTGTATATTTTATATGGTAATTGTAATAATTCTATTTCAAATTTTATTCCTTAGAATTTTTTATTATTTTTTATTGTGCCTTCTCTACTCTTTACCCCTCTCTTTCTGACTGTTGCACTGAGCCAAAACAATTTCGAAGTCTGTGACTTCTTATCACAGAAAAATTATTCTGATTCTGATTCTGATCAAAGACATCTGTTCTTTATCGCTGCATCACTGTGGTTTGATGGAGCTGTACTATACTCTGCCTCACATTTAAATCAGATCTTATCACAGACTTGAACGGGAGAAATTTGTTTGTGAAGACCACATCAGCACCCTCCTGACCCACATACACCCATGAGCGACGCGGAGGTGACTGGGCCTGTGTGACTCAGCAGCAAAACCTACAGTCTGCACTCGTTCAGAATCCTGCAGTGACTAAATGCATGCGCCATAACATTCAGAATGCTACGTTTGGGTAAACATTTATTTTCAATGTTTGTTGAAATGTATGAAAGCGCCAACTGAATCAAGTAATATTTTTACTGTTATATTTTCAGCCATCAACCCATCGACACTTATGTTTCAAAGAAGAAATATCATGCTATATTTTTGTCCTTAAAAACATAAAAATTAGACTCGTTCATGGGTAAATAATGCTGGGTAATCCACCTCCTATCCCTGTACTACCATCAGAGGGAGGAGTTTTCCATATTTGATCATTAGGGGCTGCAACTTGAGAAATTGGTCTGTAATCTGTGGGCCATACTTGTTTTTAAATACTATTACAAAACTGAGATAGAAGCTTTTAGATGACTTGAAAATAAGTTATTTAAATGTAGAATATAGAATAACAGCTTTAGAAAAGTTGAACTGTCACATGGCTCAGAGTATCATTTTCTAAAATGACTTACATAATGGTGTTGTAAAAACGCATAAGATAAGATAAGATTTGCTTTATTTATCTCACATAGGAGAAATTTACATGTCACATTTGGTATGGATAGAGACACTCAGATTGTGCAAAAAGGAGGAAATGTGCAAACATGTTACATGCAGGATATATATGTACAATAAAGTGACAATAATTATGTGCAACAAAAGTGACAAGTGTCAATTGTAAACAGTGTCAATAGTAGTGCAGGTTTTCACACAGTGATCATTTAAAGTGACTTATTGTACAGTCTGACAGCGGTGGGGATAAAGGCCCTGCGGTAGCGCTCCTTCCTACACTGAGGGTGTCTCAGTCTTCCACTGAAGGAGCTCCTCAGCTCCTCTACAGTCCTGTGCAGTGGGTGGGAGGTATTGTTCATGATGGAGGTGGCATCCCTGGGCTAGAGCTGTTCTTGCAAATTTTTAAGGAATTTTTATTGTTCATAACCCTTTTCCTACAATTTTCTCTTTATGACATCCGCCCTGAAGATAAAGTGTGTCTGTTTGTTTGTGTTTCTGCTTGTGTGTGAGCAACACAACTCAAATGGTTATGCAATGCCATGGCACAGTTAACAACTGATTGATGATCTGAGTTACTTTTTCAATTCTATTCTTGTCAGTTTATTTCTGCTGTTGATTTCTCTCTTAAGTTTCAGGGCTCCACCATGAATCTGTTTCACGTCAAAATTCTGAGAGAAAAAAAAACTGGCACCTAAAGGGTTTAGTAGATAATAGTAAAATGCACTTGCATAACAAGAAATAAAGTTTTCATTGTTTTTTTTATTATACCTGGCTAAATTCTATGATGTGTACAGTATAAAACATGTTGCATACCACTTCCACTCTACTTCACAGATTCTAATGAATTTGAAAAGTTTGTGCTTGAAATGTGAAACAGAGGAAACACCCTTTTTTGCAGCCTGTAAGCAGTGATCACACAGAACAGGGGAAGTCACTCAGACAGAGAGCATGCATTTGGTGAGTACCAATATTTACCAGTTTATCTGTGTCTGCAGAGCGTCTGCACGGGGGAGATCCTGTACCTCGCTTCACTTTTACAGATACTGCTTCATGCTGTTGTCCTTTTCAATTTGTTTGTACTGTTTATTCAACTCCAGTATATGGGTTTCTATGTTCATTGACACAACAAATACAATAGCTAATAATAATTCAAATAGATTATGTTGTATTTTTAATTGTGAAAAAGCTCTTGCAAGCTCTTGTCAATTTGTCCAAAGGAGGTGCTGAATCCAGGCTACACTTTATGGGGCATATTACAATATAAAAAATACACTGCAAAAATGTATCTAACATTTAAATATATGTATAATATTGTGAATGTGTCATTTCAGAAAGTTATTCTGTTTTTTTAGTTTTTACATTTATTTGTTGTTTTAAATTCCTGAATATATGTTTTAAATGTATCGTGTGTTCCATACACTGGCTTGTCCAAACTACGGCCCCCAGGCGAGCAGCTCAAGTTGCTACAAACTGTGTCGAGTACATTCTTGGGTACTTTTAATGACATTTTCTATATTCTAAGAAGACAAAACAAATCTTTTGTGATGTGTCCTCTTAGTGTTAACCCTCTAGGCAGAATTGCTACACGAGCTCCTAAATCCAAGCACCTTTTATGGACCCTGCTACAGCGACTTGGCTTCCCATAAACGTCTCACTACATTTTTCTAACTGATTAAATTAGTCCACCATCTCTTACTAAGGATTCAGTGTGTCACCATTTGTCTATCTTCCAACACACGCCTCAAGAAAATAAATAAAACACTGTCGTAAAAATATTCTGAATTGATAACTTTCCCGACTGCTTTTCATACACACCACTTTGGTCTGTATTCCAGCTTGATGCATAAGTTTTAACGATAATGCTTGTGTTTCTGTTTGCAGCTGAGAACCTTGTTGCTACTGTCTCTGCTGGCCCCTCTCAGCGGCAGGAAGACCCAGGGTCGCGGCGGCAGATGGAAAGGTCACACCGTGAGGCTGAGACTGGACCCCAAACTCCCCACAGGACTGCCCCCCCTCTCCAGCAGCAGCACCGCCAACATGTCGCTGGCTCCATGGGTCTACAAGTCAGTGTGTATGATCCATATTGTGCCAACAATTAAAGCTGATTTACCTGATTCTAGTTTGTAAAACTGAGAGGAGATGGTACATGATATAACTGATCAAAACCATATCTGACTTTTAACATCCATCATTTATATTTGCATTTTACAGCTTTAGAAATGTTAGTGTAGACAGAAATGGAAAGTAGAGATCGCCACACTTGAACGGATAATCAACACATCAGCTCTCAGCACCAATATGTGACCAATACGACTATTCCTTACATGTTTACAATACTTCTGGGCTGTTATCTAATTTGACAAAATCGTGGTTTAAAAGTTTTATGAATACAACACATTTTTTGGAAGGAAGTTTTAAGGAAAAAAGTTAGGTACACCAGCTTTAAATTATGCATTATGTTTAACTATTAGAGAGAGATTAAAACTACTGGTAATTGTGTTTCAGTTTCCAGTTTGACTGCTTTAGTAATAATAAATACATATTTTTTAAAGTATTTTTTATTAAATGTAATGTTTGAACTCTGTGACGCTTTGACTATTTTAATCCTTGTTTGGCCCAAACTGATATTTGTGATGCTATTCCATACATACATTTATTATATTGTCATTGATATCATAATATCAAATGACGAATGATACATTTATTAGTCCCACAATGGGGAAATGACATACTTGTTTGTGTTGCTCAGGACAGAGTGTGTGGCGTCCCGTGTGCCCCAGTGCCTGTCCCACGCTCGCTGCCTGACTTCAGGCTGTGTTCTGGGGGACAGCGGGTACGAGGACAGGAGCCTGGAGGCCAAACCCATCTACTACCAGCTGCTGGTGATCCATAGGTATCTGTGAGACTTTGTGTATTTAAACTACATACACTCTCTCTGTGTACATGTAGTTTAAATACATATATTATCTGTGTACATGTAGTTTAAATACATGTACTCTCTGTGTACATAGATAAAAGTGCATTTTTAAAATTAAACTATACTTTTAGGCCAAAGCCACAGTTTGTAAAGAGAGTGGAAAACATGGATCAGATTTAAGTGGCATGATTCTAGATTCTGAATCAATCCAAGAGAGCAGAGCACTTACACACATCTGCCAAATTAGGTTGATTTAATCTTTCCCGGAATGGTTCAAGTAAAAACCACTTACTCTTTTTTTAAGTGAAGATTTTACATAAATTGTATACATTTTATTTGTGTTGCAAAAAGAGAAAAACACTCAAAATAATACAGCAAAAGTGAAAATTAGTGAAAAGTAAAATGTTTTCTCATAAAATGAAGACAGCATGTTGTGGTCTGGATTGACTCTGTGGCTGTGGCTCTTTATGATCACAACATTGTACTTTACCAAGACTATTTCTGTTAACACAAACTGTGTTTTGTATGATAAAATAAAGTAAACACCCCAGTGGTCATCATTATAACATCATTTCATTCATTATAGATTTTTAGTTTGATGTTTCTTGCCCCTGCAGAGTGCCGCGGCGCAGATACAGGACGTCCCGGCAGCGTGTCCAGAGGAAGGGGTACGACTTCAGACTGGACACAGAGCTGGTGTCTGTCGGCTGTACCTGCGTCCGGCCCATTGTGCTCTCACAAGACTGAGCACAGCGCCACCTAAGGACACAGCACTCAGAGCAGGGGGTCAAACTCATGTTGGTCTAAAAAACAAGAGCTGGTCAGGGTTGGGAAAAAAAATAAAATGGTTATGTATCATGGAGCCCATTGTTTTTATATTTATTATTTTTATATCATGAAGGTTTTGAGACTGAAGGATTACTTTAATCTTTTGTGAGATTTTATATTATTTTCTGCTGCATTGAACAAATTAGAGCAGTTATGCATGGATTGAACCACAACTGGACCAAAGGCAAAGCAGGATCATTATTAGATTCCTTTCATAGGTCAAAGGTTCTTTGTATATTATTGCAGGAGAAAATGTAATATTATGTTTGTGTTTGTTCAAATCTCCTTTATAGAAGTCACCAAAACTCCTTGGCTTTTAAATCTGGTATATAAACTGATCCAAGCAGTGTTTTATTTTCCTATGGTGTATTTTATTTGTATGTTATATTTGTGTATTATTATACAGCCGCCAAATGCCTAGAGCCGGCAGATTGGCCGTTGCTTTTACTTGAGTTGTTCTTTCCTCAAGAGTAAGCCGATAAGAATAATTTGAAGATTAGAAAATATATATGTTCATGTATTTTTAAATTTTTCAAACCATTATTTTTGTATTGTATAATAACACTGATATTGAACTCCATGAACACAACGATGTCAGACAATCAATAAACAATTTTTCATATTGTACAAAACCTGTGAATTTACCATGGATATTTGTTATGGAAAAGGGAAATGCCGCCCTCTCCTGGTTGCATACTGCACTACCTTTTGAAATCAAACGCCTGAAAAACATATTATTTTGTACAGATAAGAATGGACCCCTGTGCGTCAGACTCTTTGGCCTAAGTGGAAGTGGTCCTCTCTTTTTCACTTTTATGTTTGAAAAAAAAAAAGACGTGGCAGAGACCAAAAATACATGTATGTGGAAACTAGCAATAGAACCAAACTGTTTTTAGATCAAGGAATTAAGATTGTACATTTTTATTAAGCGTAAATTTTTTGAATGAGGTCAACTTTAAGAATATTATTTCCAGTTTGGTCCCAAAATCAAACACTGAGACACACTGTACGATGGAGCTGTAATAAAAACAAAGAAATACATGTTGAATCAAGTTGCTTTTACTGACCATGCCAAACAATTACAGCCAATCGCCTTTAGACAAACATCAGACACAGACAGAGCGCTATGTTATTAAACCGACCCACAATAAATCGTCGATAAACGGCTCCAAAAGTCAGTATGACTTAGCACACCCTTCACTACGTTGTTTAGAAATGATACAATCAGCACAGTGAGTGACATGACAAAGCAAAGGACCTGTCCCTGTCACCTCCATACGGGCTTCAGCGTTTGTGAGCTTTTTCCTCACATTCTAAACCAAATTATCTATTGAATTAGGGGTCGACCGATGTGGGATTAGTAGGACTGATACACACATTCTCAGAGGCACATTTTTTTGTGAATTGTTGTGGGAATTTGTCTTTTCTCTCAAACCAGAGAAGGAGGTTGGGTCAGATCTACTGGACATGGTTTTAGTGGTATAGGGGAAACCGGAGCACCTGGAGGAAACCTACGCAGACATGAGGAGAACGTGCAAACCCCGCACCGAAAGAGGTCTGGAGGTGGAATCAAACCAAGAACCAAGGTTAGCACACATGTTAACCTCTGTGCCATCATGTCAATATATAAAAAGCCTATATTCATTTGCAGTAAAAGTGAAAATATTGGGGTCAAAATTCTGAATAATACAAACTTTAACCTTTAACTTTCTTTAAGTGTCTAATACATATGTTTATTCAGCAAAACAAATAGCTAAAACATGACAATAGCTCCCACTGTATGGACTGGATGTGATGCAACAGCAGAATCTCCATGGTAACAGATGCTGATTGATCTAAATGACGTGCTTTGTTATTTAGATACATTTTGACGAAGAATAAATGAAACAATTATAATCTATTTGTTTAGACCATTATAGAGCTGAACACACACATCTTTTATCTCTGACTTTTAATCGAGAATGAATGGATCAACTCTGATTTTCTTTATACTGCTGTCTACTCGGTTGTATTTTTGTTGTTGTTGTTACAAATAAAACTGGATTGGATTTGATGGATCTGTGCAACAACACGAGTGCTGTTGAGTTCTGCAGTAGACTAACGAATGTAGAGTAGTATCATTGCTGTTTTGACCAGTGGATTCATGTTTGACCAGTAAAAAAACTGCAAAAACTTCAGAAAATCGAGCGATACAATACGTTCATTTTTGCTTTTTTGGCCATTTTCGGTCGACCCCATTATTGAATTGTTAGTTGCTATGGCTCTGGTGCTAATTCTAATACCTTACTGTCATTGTGAACTTTCAGGTTTTTCTGCCTTCAGCGTTTGCATATGTGCTTATGACTTGTGCTTAATAATGGCATAAAGAGTGCAAACCGTGCCCTAAAGTCTAAACATGTCACTATTTGACATGTACGTTTACCGTCTAAAGTCCCTCAGAGCCTGGTCTCACAAGAAACAGCTATTTTTTAATCTTCACGCTTTTCTCTATTTTTTTTTCGAAAACAGCAAAAGCAAAACAAACCAAAGCGTGTATTTTCTTTGTGCCGTTAACATTGAAAACTGGCTGCAAAACGCAAAAATACAAATACCCAAGATGGAAAGGTGATAGGTGCGAGGTGAGATTTAAGAATGAAAGAAATGTGACTCAAGTACAATTGAAAGTGCATGGTAAAAAGAAAAAAAATGGCATCTTGAACGCATTTACGAGTCAGGCTTCCGCTGTAAGATGGGAAGATATACACATAAAAGAGGTGGTCTTTCCAGAAATAGTTTGTAGTGTGTTGGGGGCAAGCAGACCATTATTGGATTGTGATGTAGTAAAACAAAGTCAGTAAGCATTAGAATTGTTCGAATAATCTGACAATTGGCAAACGTGAACGATTTCAATTTGCATAACATTCATTTTGACATTTCATTTTAGCACATTTGTCTTTATTCCCGATTGAACAAAAACATGAAAGAACTCCCTCCCTCGCCCTGTAGAAACAGACACATTTTTGGCGTAATTTTGTACAGCGTACTCGTTAACATACATCAATTATGAAAAGTTCTTGTTTTTTTGTTTGCTTTTTTCATCACCGTGCTGGATTTTCTCTCTAAATGAAGCCCCGCCCTCTCCGCCGGTGTCTGCTTTATCGACAGGCCTCCTCCTTCAGCTCCTTGTTCTTCCGCACCTCCTCTGCATGTTTGTCCTGCCATGAGAAAAGCAGCAGATTATAACCAAGAAATGACATGGGAGGAAAGAACTCAAAATGTAAAGTTTAATTTCATGAGGCAGACTTTATGCCAGAATGTGATTATTGTCATTATGATTATTATCGGTTAGGATTGCAATGACAAGTCTACTATCTAAAAGAATTGTTATCAAAAAATGGCACCTGAAATCTCCTCCAGTGGGACGAATAAATAATCTCCTAATCTCCACGATGTGGATTTACCACTACTACTAAAAACAATCATAGTAATGTAAGAAAAGTATAGAGCCAGGTTGCTGTTCTGAAAGTGCTGCTACTTTGGTGCCTAAAAGAGGAATAGACCACTGTATTTTCACTTTTTTTCCTTTTAGCGTTCTGACACAATTGCTTGCGTTTAAAAAGGGGTTACACATTTTTCTAATATTTAAACTACCAATAAACATGAAAACTTTATACATTGTTAAATTGTAATGTCTTGACAGATAATAATCATTGATGTCATATTCCTAGTTTCTACATTTCTGTCAGTCAATGTCAATGTTAAAATTTCTTTGTATAGACCAACACCAGCTGCCCAAAGTGCTTCCCAGGCACACAAAAATAAAAGAAAAGAGAAGAGCATAAAATACATAACATACAAGTGAATTGCAATTCTATCTGTACATATATTTGAAATGGAGTAACATTTGTATCATCAATAATACATTTTTGTCCCAACAGGAAGTCTTGTTAAAGGAACAAATCCGACCACAAGATGCCGTCTTCATCTTAGAATAGAATACTTGTTATCTAAAATTCTCTGCGTAGAAAAGGCCATTTAAGTTACTACTATTTGACTCTTTGGGCTGAACACTGACACTGAGGAAAGGTTGATCTGAATATGTGAGGCTAAAACAATAGATTCATGTGAAAACTACTGATACAGTTTTGTGAGCTAGGAACTAAATATTTGATTACATACTGTATATAGTCCCATGTCTTAGTGGATTTAAAGTTCTAAGTACCGCAGCTTTCAGGATTCGTACCTTCTCCTGCAGGCGTTCCAACATGGCCGCCAGCAGAGCCTCGCGGTTCTCCTTGTTGGCTTCCATCTTCTGCTCCAGTTTCTCCTTGGCGTTCTTGATGAAGTTGTTGTTCTCCTCGAAGGCCTTCTGGATCACCTCGCGCTCGTGCTCCCTCTTCTCGGCCAAGTACTTCTTCAGCTCTGCCTCCTGGACCTGAACGAGGACACAAACATGGAATTAAAGGAGACATGTTCAGCAAAAGTGGTTTTTTGATACTTACACACGAATACAACTGAGGGATTAAATCTATCACTGTTTTTCATGTACTGTATTATTTATGCCGTTTAATGCCTTATGTGACTGTCTCTATCTTGTTTTGTTCAGCACTTGGCAAACAACAAAATGGCAACAGAATTACACTCTTTACGAATTCATTGCAGACACTATTTTAGGGAAAGGCAGAAATGATTTCGCACCCAATGTACTTGTTTCACCATATGTTGTCTACTTCAGATTCTGCACGTTCTAAAACATGAAACATTTTATAATGGATTCAGTGATAACTTTAGATACGCAACATAATTCTTTCTTAGCCAGACACTGAGAGAATTGCTGTTTTCACTGCCCTGTTTGCTTTTGGTAAATCAACAGTCGTATAGTGTTCTTGTGTTTTTAGGCTGTGGAAAAATGAATTGGTTTGATAGAAAGCCAAACTTTTGATCTATTTTAAAAGCTTATAATTTAATCAGTTTCACCTTCCACCCATACCCACACAGTTCTCTAGCTAAATCATAATTGTTTCCAAAAAATTCAGATAGGAATGCATTCACTTTTCAACATTGAAAAACATAAAGGAAAAACCATGTTGGTAGTGGATAAAATACAACATATTGACAAGATACTAAACACCCATAAAAAGCACAATATGTCTCTTGCTGTATGAGAAGAATATGTCATAACAGTAATTTTTAGTTCCTAGTTTTAATGCTCTTTCCCTCTTGTTTTAAGTCCATTGTGTGTTTGTTCCGTGGCTCCTGTGTTTTACATTCAGCTGAGTTTTGTTTTAGGATTCATGTTTATTAAAGTAGTATTTTTGCAGTATTGTATTTTGGCTCCTTCCTCCTTTCCACCACGTGACAGAATACACAGCTTAAACCATGTCTCTGTCCTTTCCTGTGTTTGGAATAATAACAACTTCATCACAGCCATTAGAATCAGATTGAAGCCTATATTTTGGCTGAGCACTGACGGACGCGCACACTCCTCTCTGTTCTGTGCTCCCGGTGAATAAATAAAACCTTTGTGCATGAGCTGTATTCTCCCTTTCATCTTCCCTTGTCCTCTTTCCTATCTCCTTCTAGCCCTCATCTCTCCGTCTCTCCTTCTTTCCTTCCTCTGATCTCTGCACAGATCCACACAGCGTCCGGATAAATCACAAAGCTACAAAGGCTGCATGTGGACCTTGATACAGCCCCAATGAACCACAAATAGCACAGATCGTCTTTGCACCTGCTTCACATTACGAAATGAAATGAAACACGACTTTTTTTTGGCGTAAAGTGGAGTTAAGCCGATTGAAAGACAAATAAGCCACAAAGTTGTCAACAAAAAAGAAACGTCGCCGTATACGACCTATATAGCACTGTATACTGTATGCTTTGTACACATGAGAATACAGTAGGTTTCTGGGCACTAAAAGTTACTCTAGTTTACTATCCACAAGTATGACACCTGCACAAGATTGATATTGCTAGTTAGCTATGGAACGCTCTTTGTGTGGTCCTCTAATTATTACTATTAATTATTGCTATTATTTCTTATTAAAACTATTATTATAATTGTTGTATTTTTTCATCCTTTTTGTTTAATTGATTTTCCAGTGAAGTCAGATTCAGCATTTTAATTTTTTTCTGCGGTTAAATGTTCTCTACTGCCTCCTCCTGTGCAGCACTTTGGAAGTGGTTTTGTTTTCTGAGTATATAAATGAAGTACATTTTGATAAGTTGCCTATCCATTGAGCAAATGTTTATATCTAATACCAATACTAAAATAATCACATTTAGAGTATACTGTGAGTGAATGTATGAAGAATATTTGTATTTGTCCTGTTAATCAAAAATGACTGATTACAGCATCTGTTATAACTTTTTCCCTCAAAAAGCTTCTCTTACTTTAGAAAAGATTTACAGGGAGCTGCATCTGCCAATAAAGTATAATTAGGTTTGTTCATTTTGTTTTCACACAGTTAGACTGATGGAGCGCTGTATTCTCCAAACATTGCTATTTATACACATTCCTTGGAAGAAGTTGAAAGACTTTTCTTTTGGCTGTAAAATGATCAAATACATTTGTAAGTATATGATAGATATGTAGCTACATAGATAGAGAATAAGTGGATTTGCTCATTAATACAATGCCAACCCATCTCCAGATGATGACCTCAGGACTCAGGACAACCTGAGCTGGAGGATTTTCTGGAGCACCCTAAAAAAACCTCTGCAGACACGGGGAGGACATCTCAGAAAGACTCTGTTCCGGCCAAGATTCAAACCCAGGACCTTCTTGCAGAGAAGTCCGAGTGATAAGCACAAAGCCACTGTTCTGAGATAAATATATTGATTGATATATACAGACCATAGAAAGATAAATAAATTGATTGATTGGTTAATAATAAAGTAATTATTTGTTGCCAGATTTCTCCTGCCTTTGATGTGACACGTGTAGCTCTTTAGCACAGATTACTGATGCAAACCAACTGCTGGATTTTACATAAAAATGGCACACACTGAGTACTTATTTCTTATCTGCTTTCATTTATAATATGTGTGGTGCTAAGATAGAAACCAGCTAAATTTCACCTAACAAACTGACAATCCAAATTGGCTCTGATTTGGTTATCTGCTTGAAAATTGTATATGTTAGTTTTCAATTCTTTATATGTTAATCAAGAGTAACTCCACTCTAAACTTTTTCTTAGTAACAGTGACATATTATTTGCACACAATGGCCTATAATCTGGGGATATATAAAAGATATTACATACAGTCTCTTTAAATCTAGCCATAATACAATAAAGGCTTTTGAAATAATTGGCCTTTCTACATCTGCTCTTACTCAGAAAGACAGGGTTTAGAGATGGATCCCTCTCTCCAATAGAGCACCTGGTTTAAAAAAAAAGTCTTGCTAGTTCTTAGTTAAAGTTCCATACCCTCCTCCTCTCCTCCGCAGCTTCCAGTTTCTTCTGGATCTCCTCCAGTGACGGATCCCTGCGCGGGGGCATGGAGGTGTTGAGATCCGGAGCCCCGTCAAAGGAGGGGTGCTTCAGGATGACCTCGAAGGCCTGTCCCGATGTGCGCTTGTTCAGCTCGATCACCTCCACGTCTTTGATGCTACACCAGCCCAGGTCCACCGCATCTGCTCACACACACACATTCACGCACGCACGCACGCATGCCCACACACACACACACGCACGCATGCCCCCCCCCACACACACACACACATGCACACACACAAAGACCATCTGTAGATTTACAAGAGAAATTCATCTATAAAGTACTGTCTGGTGCACACTGGGGAAGTCTTGCACAGTTATTCCAATGTGGTTTTGCTGCAAATGGCTTGAAGTCACACATAAATTGTGCTAGGAATGAGCCCCCCCCCCCCCCCCCCCCCCCCCCCCACACACACATCAAAGCAGTATGTCTTACGACCAATTTGTGTTAAAAAATTCTATAAAAAAATAGAAAATATAATGATAATGATTATTATTACATGTTTATTGTTAAACCTGGCAATCCTGTATTTTTGAATGTGTTACTTTTATCAGTGCAGCACTTTGGAGACTTGTTCTATAACGTGTTTTATATGAATAAAGTAGATTGGATTGGACTGAATGCCCTTTCTTTTTAAGGCAAGGCAAGTTTATGTATAGCACAAATAATACACAAGGTAAAGCTGACTCCGAGGTGATGCTATTGTTTTGGCTTTGATCAATCACTTCAGCCAGCATTGATTCATAATAAATCATCAAATTAGTTTTCTGCTACATTGGTGATGTCACATTAACGTTTCTGAGTTAGAACAAAATAAACTATAAAACACGGTAAACACGTGACCTTACCTTCTGCCTTGTAAATGCTCTTCTCAATCTGCGGACTGAAGCAGGAGCAGAACAGAGACACCAGGGGGAGCTCCTTCACCTTGTCTTTGTAGGCTGAGGACACAAAACAGCACGTTGTACACACCTCCAGATAAACCATGGACTGCAGACCACAGACTTGACACAGAAAGCTGGGGTTCCTCACTTCTTGTATAAAAATTAATACATTTTGTTTGTATCAACATTTTAAATACTGTATTAAAATTGCGTCAACAAATCAGATCACAATGCGCTGTCTTTATAACATTAGAAATCCTGTTTGCATAAAGATCCCTTGGAGTCACTATTTGACACTTTGGGGTGAGAGCTGAGCCAGGTTATCCCCTTTTATCCACTTTTCTCTCTGAAAAAGCTGATGTAAAGCTTTGAGAGAGGCCAAAAACACGTGCATGTAAAATCTAGTGATGGAACCAAAATGTTTTGAGAGCATGGGACTAGTAGAATGGATTTCTATCACAGCTTAATTTCTATTCTGGTTTGAAAGTCAAGTACCCCAGCTTTAATTACAACCCAAGAGTCTTTGTTGTAAAGGGTTATATTTTCAGTTTGGGGGAACGACAAACAGGCAAGTCAATATTTAAAAAAAGTGATAGAGTGATTGTCTCAACTCCAAAATCCATGTATGCCTGAATGAGTGGTAAAAAGCTAAAAACGGTTTAGGTTACCATAATGAGTAAGATTAATTAATAATTCAAACTTCCATCAAAAAACTGCTGCATCCTATTTTGGTCAGCATCAAAACAATTGTCCCAAAACTGGATTGGAAAGCCGTAAGTCAATCATTTTGCGAAACTATGAACCTTTCACCTTTTATAGTTTAGTTTAAATGTCAGACCTTTGCTATACGATAGGAAATGTGTGTTTACCTGCCAGCGTCATCTTGTCACTGCGTCAGGGGTCACTGCAGGAACCTTCACTCTGTCGGACACACAGAACAACCGCCGTTTTGAAAAGGTCACACTTTCTGGTTTGGGCTCGTGCAGGCTGCTCTATAGGCTCAACACATTTCTGTATTCTCTATGTAGATCCAGTGTAACATATGCAGTCCATAAAGCTGCAAAAAGAGCAGCTGTAAAATAAACATAACATTCTGTAAATATAGTTTGTTTATCTATTATCAATATTTTAAGAAAACAATAATAATCTGTGATTGCAGGAAAGGCTGACTGACACAGTAGCATATTAAATGTAGTGATTCATTTAACAGTTTAACATTTCTGCCTGGTAATTGTTCGCCCTCTGATCAACTATTTGTCTTTGTCTTAATTTAATCATACTTAATTCTAATTGTGTAATTTAATGACAGAAGTACAGTATGACATTCTACTCATATGATAAATATCTGAAATGGGGAAAGGAAGGCATGTAGATGAAAAAAACAAACTTCAAAATTTGCTTGGAACAATTAACTAAATAAATGTTGAGGCAGTAAACTTAAGCAGAAAACATCATCGTCAAAGGAAGGGGTATTCATCTCTGTCCTCAAAGGGCCGAGTAGCTGCAGGTTTTCACTCCAACCAAGCAGGAGCACACCAGACTCCTCCCATGTCCTCAAGTCTTCAGGCTCAGACTGGACTCACTTGAGGAAATGGGATGAGTCTGGTGTGCTCCTGTTTAAAAACCTGCAGCCACTGGGCCCTTTGAGGACTGAGTTGAATACCCCTGGTCTAAGGATTTGTCTTATTGCGAGTTTGACAATTGAGCTTTTTGACAGAAGGGGCGAGGGGATGTATTTCTGCCAGAAGTCCCTGAGTGTGGAGAGAGCACAAACCAATTCTAGGTTTGGTTTTTGAAAAGGAACGAGGTTGGTATACTTGGTTATCAACGCAAACAAGATTGTGCATGTTATTTCAGACATTACACTTACAGTTCAGGACAAAACTTTTTGACAATTTAACTTTATGTGTCACGAAACAGAGCACTTTTGAATCTTTCATCTGAACCTTGGCTGAGCTGCAGTGAGGACAATAGTGTCAGGAGTGAATCTGAGAGGAGTGTATAAATAGCAGAAGGACACTGGGAGAAAACTACACCTGCTCAAATGCCTGAGGACACGCAATACTGCAGACAAGTTGAGATTTATGTCAGAAATCAAGTGAGCAATATCCATCTAATGCATATTCAGCAGGAAGTGTAAAACACAGAGACACCACCTGTTCTGTCAACCTGTCAGGTGCCCACATCCAGCCATACATGAATATATATTATACCTCAATTATCAGAAAGAAAATGAGAAAAAATCAACAACTTTTGCCCCATTGTATCGATAGTTCTTCTCCTAACTGCTACAGTATATAGCTCACAATGTGCATGTTTTGATACAAGTATACTAGTATACTAGTCTAATAACTTTTTTTTTTTGACATGTTGTGTATGACTCAGTATGCAGGATAAGTAAATCAATATTTAAAATGTATAAATACATCAAAATGTCTTTCTTTTTACTATCTACTGTCTATCTTACAAAAATATTTTCTATGTGACTGATTTGGTGGTATATGATTTACATTCTCAAGTTGTTGGCCCATATAATGAGCCACATAAAGACACAGACTTTCCCATTTAACCCACAGACAAATTTGAGAATTGCTATGTAGTTTTTTTCTTTTTTTTCTTTGCACAGACATCTAGATATTTTTTGTATAGGATAATACTATGAAATAAGTTCTCTTGTAATTCAAAAAGCGTCAGTATAACCATTCTTACGCACATGTACAATTCAGTTTTTAGCTGTGGCTGCAAAATTATTCAGATAGACGCATTTTAGTGGATGTATGACTTTTCTGTAAATAAGTTGTATCATGAACCATGCATGTATCAACACAAAATGTAGACTAACTCTTTCAGCAGTATGTAGTAACATTGTATCTTTTCTCAAATCCTGGTTTTCTCTCCTTAATTCTTAATAACTAGATTTAATGAGAGGTTCCAGCGTGGGGATCATGTTCACAGCTGCTCTCTCCCTTTGGCCCTGAACGCTGCGTAATGATTTGGCTGCAGTATCACAGCATTAGTAGGAGGCCTAAATGCATTAGAACTTTCACTGGAGCTGAAACTCAGATTTCCTGCAGCTCCAGTGGCTCCTGAAGTGGTCCTAATGTAATCAACACGAGAGAAGAGGCCCAGATGAAACAGCCACCTTCACTGTGCCCATTTTATCAACAATGTCAGCTCCTCATACTGGTGTCATTTTGCCAAAATCTCAATCCTTATGGTGGGAAATTGTGAAGAGAAAATCTGACTTTTTGAAGTCTGGTTAGACCCGCCCACGCCCAAATTTCCTGTTTGGTTGAAATTAAGTCAAATCCTTGCAGCCTATCGTCATTTTTTTAACTATTCTCCTCCAGCAAATCTTACTGGATGGCGTTATGCCAAAGGGAGGAACTATTCAAAAGGATTGTTGAAAAAATGTACATAATAGTACAATGTCCCATGGTCAGAAATATAAATGACACAAAAAATAAATACAATTTAAGTTTCAGCTTTAATAGGTTCACTGATGTCATCCTGACTTTTTCACCAGTTTAGCATTCTTTAGGTTTGTGAATTTGTTAATTATACTTAACATAATCAATGACCAAACTATTACAGACATACAGAGTAGTTAGATTTAAAGCTTTTCCAAATTTTGAATATTATTATTTAGTGTCATACAGAACTTAGTGTATATAGAACTTTGTGGCAAGAAAATAATCTTAACAGTGCCCTTTTTTTTAGGAAGGAAAAGTCATGTCTCTATTTGCCTCTTTGAGCTGAGAGCTGATTGGCTGCCACAGAGATAATCCACACTCTGCTCTATGTGCAAACATTCATGCATGTGAATACTAATGATCTGCTGAAGGCTTTGAGAAGGGTATGAACACATTAGAGGGATTTAACCTTTGACTGTTTGTTATTCAAGTATCACTGATTGCCATTTAGACCTAGCACAGCTGAATGTAGATGCATGAATCTGTGTTCTGACAAAAGCCTTAAAGGAAAACATTTGAATTAACAAAACAAGTCACGCCTATTCTTAGTCAAGTCAAAGTGTAATGTCTCAACCACTCTGTATAATGTCTACTTTGGAAAGATTTTTTTGAAAGAGTATGTTGTTCATCACCTGTAAAACACTTGACAACACTGGTTCTGATTACCATAACTATTGTATTATTTGATCACACTTACTATCACTTTATAAAAAAACCTATTATGTTATCATCTCTGCGTAAAATATTTATATGAAGTGTTGCAGTAAAACTCTCTCCTCTTTCCAAGGTCAGAATTGTTTGAATCCTGCTTTGTTTTGTGTAGGAGCCTCTGTCCGCATTGTGTCCATAGGTGAGTAGCAGTGACATTGACAGTGTGTTAATGAGCCCGGGCTAAATGCTACACTTCTCATTATTCACCCGACCACCCTGCCTCTCGCTGCTCTCCGCTCCTCTGGGACCAGCAAGGACACAGGAGCAGCTGACACGCCTTACCCGGGAAAATGCACATATAGCTCTATCCATAGTGTGTAAAGTCATTAGTATTAAACGTATCCATGTGCATTGTGATCCCTGTTCTGTCCAGGATTGATCCATGACTGAAATGGTTATTAAAAAAAAAGAGTCTTCTCATGATTTGTGAAGTACTTATGTGTGAATGTGGCTGTGTTGAAGTTAAAAGTTTTGTGATTGTTAGGGCACGTTCACACTTATTGGTCTGGTTCACTTTAACTGGACCATTTCCGGTTTGCATAGGCGGAAAATAATGCTTTTTTTGTGGATGAAAGTGAAACCACCAAACATCATGTGTCCACTATAATCAATTAAGTCAGAGTACATCTTTTGAAACAGATCTGTGAAGCACACCGGGGTAGTCTTGCACAATTTTTCCTATGTGGTTTACTGCAAATGGCAAATAAATGAATCTGAATCTGAACCTGAATCTTTTATCCCCAAGTGAACCAGACTTGGTCCAGTTAAAGAGAACCAGACCGACATGTGGATGCACCCCACATCTCCCTGGTTTCAGACTTGGCCTTGTTGCCGCCTGATCTAAAATGCAATTAGATGGTGCTTTAATCACTTTGCTAAGATATTAATAATGGAAATGATACAGAATTTAAGCCTGTAGTAGAGATATCATTTACAAGCTCTTTAGGCGGCATAGTTATTTCTGAAATTTTATGTGAAACTGACAAAAAGTGGAGCCAGCTGAGGCTTTATACTTTTGATGGTTTAGGTCAGAAGGGTATAAACTGATATAAAATGCATTGAAAAAGACCACATTGTTCTACTTATAAATGATATAGGCGTAATGAAATCCGACTGCAGACGCTGGCCCTGGTTGGGGTTATGATGCTAAATAAAGCATTTATTTAAAAAATCTGTTAACATCTATAAAAAAAACAATGCTCTCTGGATATACATTGGCATTTTTCTGTTAGAATAGTTCTGCACTGACTGTAGGAGCCACCCAGGCACTGATCAATGCCTCCTGCAGTAATCGGGGAGAGGGAGTGTGTGTGTCTGTATGAGCGTGTGTGTGTGAGTGTGCATGTGTGCGTGCATGTTTGTGTGTGTGTGTGAGAGACAGAGGGCTGGGTGGAAGCAGGAGGAGCAGCAGTGGAAGGAACATTAGGGTCATTTTAAGGGGAAACTGCATGAGCTGCTGATGCTGGGCTGGAGTCAGGACTTTTACAGATGCTATTTGCTATCCCCCACTGTCCTCTACTTGTCAGATATAACCCTCAGCACAAAGCAAAGGGTATACAATAATTGAAAAAGGTAATAACATTTCCCGTTCCAGAGCCCTAGACAACATATAGTACAATCTGTTATGTGCAGTGTTAAATCAACTGTATATCCAACTGTGATCTGTGGACCTGATACGTTATGAGTTATAGGAGCAAC